ACAGGTTATATTCAGAGATACAAAGAGAGAATGAAAGTTAAACTAGACATGCAAAATCTACCAGAGAATAAAACACCAAAAATATAATTATTCCAAGAACAACAGGTCCAATACAAGATGAATAGAGACAAATGATCGATACAAACAAGCACAACATTTACAAATCGGAAACAATCATCGATTAAAAGTTGAATTCACACTCACACACCAATGGAATAGGCCGTTATGGACTTTAGTGTTGTTGCGACAATCAGGCGTGTCAGCTAAAACGAATTAACATCAAATTTGAAGTCAAGATCCAGGTTTTTCAGCGGATTGCGCCGGATCTTTGTGCTGCCGTGGTGATGATGATGGTGCGGTATGTGTATTGTCACTTCCTTTTCTGCATTCCTTCAACATAGCAACGGTTTGTAGGGTTTCGTATGTGTTTGGTTCGCAGTCCATACGTAACCAAAGAGCGGCATTAGTTATAGTCCGTTCGTAGTCGTTTTGAGGCGGTAAACATAAAAGACCAATAAAAAGAAAAAAATGAATAGGAATAAACAAATAATATAAATAATAAGTTAGGTGTCCAAAGAGCAAATAATATGCCTGTAAGCACCCCTGTAAAACGAGCTTATTGATCACCCAATGTGGTGGCTAGACCTTTACAATTGAAATGGTATTTTCTTGTAATGTTTTATTGTGAGTTTATTTTGTCGGCTTACTGTCTAGAGGATGAATTGTAGTTAAATACAAATATATATATATATATATATAATATATATATATATATATATAGTTTTACACGTATATATATATATATATATATATAATTGTTATGTCTGCCATTAAACTAAATAACTAAATTTGTTAATAAAATTATAGTCTATTATTCGTCATATGCAATATCGCCCTGCCGGGCACACTTTTTTTGACATGTTTATAGTTTTCATTCAAAACAGTTTTTTGCTTCTCCTACACAATTATGCTTTTGTTAGTTACGCCTTTTTGCATTTAGCTGGCGCTATATATATATATATATATATATATATTGTTTTGGATTGGTACACATGTTTGTATTGGTCCACTTCACCCGATGATTTATTACATTGACTATGTATGCATTACTGAACTTTCGTGTAAAAATACAACATTTATTAACATCTCGTACGCAGACAGAACAGGATAAAAATCAAGTTTCTTTCACGAAATTGTATATTCCAGTTAAAACAAAAACGGTATAATTTGGACAGACGACGAAGTCTACATGGCTCAACCATATAATTAAACCTTGCAAAAAACTATAAATATAATTGCCAACTCGTTTATTCCTTAACAAATTCAAAAATTTGTACAAATTTTGTCTTTTTTCTTCTTTTAATTTTATTGTTTATTTCGCTGAACACTGTGTTAAAGGACATCATTTAAGAAATGTTACAAAATATTGAGTTCAAAGATAGTCGTATTGTGTATTCGACATTTCTGAGCGACAATTATTTAAAAAATCATAGCAAATGCAATGTGATACGAGTGTATAAAAACTGACATTGGCATTTAATAAAAATTATATTACGAAAAGGATTTGTTCATCGGTGTCCCTGTTTGACTGGTGGATTTAACTAAGCGTCAACTGTGCCAGTAGACATGTCGACAACACACACACACACACACAAAGAACAAAAACCGGGCGCCATTTAGCTACCATGTTGTCCTTTGCGTTGAACACACAAACCAATACGCATGTTTATAAAAATACAGCAAAAATCTGACACTCATACACATGGAGTGGTACACACAAATATCTACCCGAATCGATGACGGGGTGCACCACCTGTGATGTAGAGATATGGAATTATCTGAAGTAGTACTGAAATCATTGTTCGAACCAATTTCATTTACACTATTATATTTTCTACATTGAATTGAAATGCCTTTAAATATTCTAGTGTCAACACAGATATACCACCTGCTGAACGCTGGCTTTAGGGAGAGAAAAAAACAAAGCCCATTATATCCATAAGTAAGTGTTTGTATGCGAATACAAGATGCGTGTTTATATAGATTTATATCACGCATACGATCAGCGACAGGGGAACAGCACCAGATACGTGTTTTAATTTTTTAAATTAAGGTGATGCGTGATTGTCCAAATTTGTGGAGCAAATCCAGACGTATGCACCATAAACATAAATTTCTATGTTTAGCAACATAGCCAACAATTCGATAAGAGTACGGATCAAGCCCTGTACGTATCTGATACTGAGGTATAGCATGCTGTCAATTAACGGATCAGTTTTTGTATGTTTTGCAAGTATGTGAGTGGGATAATTACATACACCAACAGAAATATACATCACACTTTTCCATATCCCCAATGTAGAAACGTGTGACACATACACATTTCCTAAAAGAAACGTAGTAACTGCTTTAGGGCACGGCGAATGGCTGACTGACTAACTGACAATTTCGCACAGAGACATTTCACAGCAGTATAATTTAGTTTAAAAATCACTAAAATGAGCGCCCCAAACGGAAGGGAGTGTGGATATACGAATTAATTTAAAGAGGAAACTCCCAAACACACCTTGTTTTGAACACAGAAGCGAGGGTGGGGTTCACACGAAACCGCATTTAAAATGTAAATAGAAACGTACGAAAATAAAATGTTCGGCAAATCCAAAGGCGTAGCAAGGAGAATGGGTATTTTGGCCATTCGACAGCGTAGTGGAGCCCTAACAGGCAGCAGAATTACAAATGCGTGTGCGGATGACTCACTCACCTTCATCTTCGCCCATATCATCGAATTCCATTTTCTCGGCCTTGCTGCAGGAGTTTTGTGGTATAGCACCGTTCTCTTTGGCCGGCGACGATAGTCCTGTCTTTGAATTACAATGGGTATTGGTGAAATGCTTGTTATTGGTAGCACTACCGTTTGAATTTATTGAATTCGTTTTGGAGTGTTGACTTCTTGTAGACTTTTGTGATTCTCCCGTGGTTGGCTTGGATGATTCTTGGGTAGCAAGTTCGTCCATCTTTTTCTCCTGTGCTTGTGTGGCATTTTCGTTGTTGCAATTTAGTTGCTCGGAGGCGGAATTTTCTCCGTTCTGTTCCCCAACTTCTATAGTGGTGCCGTTAACGCCGGTTGTCGAACCCTCTTTGTTTTTCAGCTCTTGGCTCGTGTTGCAACCCATCTTCGTCTCCTCTTAAATTACACAAATTCACACACACACAGACACTCGACTTATATGAAATGCGTTCTGTTTTCAAAAGAAAACACGGAGGGACTTATTTTAGGCAAGTCTTTCTAATATCCAAGAACACTTATAAAGGCCGTTTTAATTATTCCTAATTTAATATTTCGCTTAATGGTTAATTCATTGTGGTGTTGGTGGTGTTGTTATTTATCAGTCGAATATTATCTATATTTCGCCAAGGCAACGTTTGCACATAAAATTGTTTAATCAATTCTTTTTGGTTTGTTTTCGCTATTACAGGCGACACAGCACGCAACTTTATTAAACTTCATGCACATCGTTAAGAAACCGTCCCAGTATTTTTTTAAAGACACTTCTAATTACTGTTGATGATTAACCGTTTTTGTCATCAATGAAGCTTGTCTCCAGATGCTATGGGCTGGCCTTTCACTTGCGAAGCGATAGAAAAGGCGTCTGCTGCTATACTCTACTCGATAAAGTCTAAAAATAAACTAACTCTGTGTACGGAAATTTCCCGCAGGATAACCTTACATTCACACATACACAGAAACAGAAACGCTGACTCTTGAAATGGTCGTCATCGTAAATATACGAATTTCCCCATTACAACGTGACACACACAGAAGATAATAACAAGAGAGCGAGTGATTCTCTTATTTCCGGTGTGTTGGGCGCAAAAGTGGAAAGCAACAGAGCCTTCCATAAAACAGTGTGGCAAAAAAGTTGTGTAGTTATATGGCAAAATAGTTATAGAAAACACTGAAGTGACTCAATATTTACGAATATTTTTTTTTCTATTATATTCAGATATGTTTGTAAGAGAATTTAAAGTATTGGATAAATATTAGTCTGCTATTAAAAAAATAGTCAACTCACACACTTTCTTAACCTAACCATTTTCAAATATGTTTTGTGAACATTAGTATGAACAAATAATTAAAGAGGGAAATCATCCTTTAAACACAATAAATGCGTTTTGTACTAAATTGAGTGGAACTATTAGTAGGATCACCAATGACCAATGAAATAAACCAACAAAAGGGAAACAAAATATCTTCAAAATGTAAAGATTTAGGTAAGTGTTTTTTCCGAGTACGGCTGTTATGTTACAATTTCTGTGTTTACTGTTAATTTTTCTAATGGGCTGGTTGAGGCTCTACAGATGATAGCAGAATGCCTAAGAAGCAAAGTAATGCCGTAAGCAAAGTAATTAAAGAACAGGTGTACTGCATTTTTAATCCTTGGCATATATGGGTTAATTTGAAAAAAAAAAATCTTAGAAATTACAGTTTACACGCAATTAAGGAACTTTGCAATTAAGGAGTGAATGGCAATGTTCTTAGATAACTACACAGCTTTTCCAATAAAATTCGCAGATACGACGGGCGTTTTCTAAGAGTGGTGTCTACATTTAAAAAAGGACGTAATGTAACAAAAACATATGTTAGAAATGTGCAGAACTATAATATCTAACCCATATAACCCATTACAAACAAATGCAACGGAATTTGATTAAAACAAACAATAACATTTATTATAAAAAATCATAGTCGTCTTTCTTATTATCTGAAGTCTCTTACAAATACAATAAATAATAATATTGTGCAATATATATTTCATTCCGTACGCGTGAAAAATAATATAAAATCTAAAAATAAAAACTTTTATTTTGGCGTACAAACACAGTCTATAATCTGATTACAAGTAGGCAAAATGATGTCATCGTGTCATGAGGACAATTTTAGGAATTTCTTAGCAGATTGCAAACAAAAGTACTCTTAAGTAGGTAAATTAAAATGCAGTTTATTCCAATGTTGTATCGACATAATTCCAGGGTTTCTGTGACAAATACAAAACCACAATCGTGGATAGTGCGCTCACCAAAAATATTACATCGAACCATCGATGGTAGAAGTTAAAATGAAGGTTGCCTAGTACTTCGGTAATAATAACACGATATTCGGCTGGCATATTCATACGCATTAACAATACCGAAGAACAGAAATACATGCCCATAATTTGGGCCAATATCAAGACGATTATATTGGAAGATTTGCTTGACGAAATGCGGTAGAAAAACTATAATGAAACGAAAATAATACGCAATAAAAAGTGATGGGCAATTTTGCTAGAAAATATCCTCTATTTACCTTAGTCAATGTCAGCAGCAAACCTCTTATAGATGTTACAACAATACATCCCACTAACAAAAAGGATATATGTTGGTTCCAAAATGCCAGGTCTATATCAAAGCCACACCAATGAACCGCTATTTCGAGACCTCTAGTTACTGGGTCTTTCCGACCAACTCTGTCGAAGATAATATTCACACAACACTGTAAAATGTGACAAAGGTTAGTCAGTTCCAACGTCAATGTACGCCATTATGTTTCATACCATGAATATCTTATACAGACAATAGACACTGAAGAAATGCCCAATCACATTAAAGTATTTGCCTTGTAGTGTTTGCGACCATTTCTGACGTTCCTGCATGTTTTTCAAGTAATTGATTTCGAGAAACAACTGTCTCAGCAGTTCTTCTAAGCCATATATCTCCATACGCAACTGATTTATATCTATCAAAGTCTGAAATTAACATTGTAAACAATATTTCGGCAAATCACTTACTTTCGCCTCCAGTGTCGGCTCTGTTCACCGCTGAACTTAGAATATTCCATAAACGGGGGCGGGACTGATTTGATTTGTTCCTTCGGTGCATCTCCAATGCAATGCGTTTCTTCTTTCCCGTTAACATGTCTACAGTTAGGAGAAGTCGGCGTTCTAAGTTAAGTATATCACTCTGAGAAACGGGCCTAGTGGAGAGGACATCATCTTAACAATTTTACGACGTGTCTATTAAAATTACCTACCGAATAAAATACGTCATGCTTTGGAAGGGACAGTTAACAGCACCAAATCCTGAAAGAATCGCCATTACTGTAACCCCAATAACCCCAATTCTCGATACTCCCTGCTCTATCGTGAATATACCATTTGACACGCTTAGTAGTGGAAAAGGTTCTCCAATGCGCCACAAGGAATACAGAAATACAAACCAGCAGCAAACAGTCATTATTCGGACCCATTTTTCAGAGACTATATAATATGTATAATTAGTGAGATTTTTATCGATAAAAGTAGCAAATTAGAAGCGATGATTTTTGAAATAAATGTTCACCCTTTAATTCAACGAAAATGCATTGAATGACATAATTATATGTAGAAGGTAGTCTGATTTGAGAAATTGGCATCATAATTCTGTGTTAATTTATAACTTATCTATCAATTTCAAATAATATGAAAACTAATTTTTCATAAGTTTTTATGCATTTTTTTAATTGATTCGTCTTTATTGAAAAATAATGTTTCATAAATGTTTATGCATTTATAAAATAGCACAAGTAACACATTCATTTTGATAAAAAAAATACCTTTAAAATGGAGAAACGTTTTATGGGAAGATGAAAGTAAAATTGTGCTGTATGGAGAAAGAGAATCTCAAGAATATGTCGGACGACCACCAAATGCAGAACATAAAAAAAAATTATACACCATCTAAACATCACCATTGTTGATGTAAATTGTTTTCAAGATTACAGAGTCAGGAAACTTCAAATTATAAAACAATATTGATAATAAATTTTCAATTATTGCAAACTTCTTTCCAATTGCAGGCATTACATATCCCTAAAGTCGGCATGTCGTATTTTAATTGAAGAAAAATTATATGTATAATATTAATTTTTTCCTTTAAGGGGACCCCCCTCATTCCCTGGGTCAAAATTGTTGTTGATATAATTCGAATCTACACTGATTAAAGAATGTCTCTACAAAATTTCAAGTGAAAATCTCAAGAACTCTTGAAGATATAGCCGATTTATTGTGTCAGCATTAAGTGACGGCTGAAGGGCTTCTCAAACTTTAAACGCGTTTTCTCTAAACATTTTTTTCCGCCATACGCAAAATAACTCGCACGATAACTCAAAAACTAATAATCCAATCGGTTCCAAATTTTGCAACGTTTCTCTGTGAGTGTATAGCTATCGTATGAACTAGGATGAAGCCAATCGGTGAAGATCTTCCTTATTTTTTAACTTGGTTTTTGGTAAAAATCGGCGATTTTCCAAAAATATTTTTTCAAAGGTCCACCATTTTGTTAATTTTAGAGCGAAGTCAATAATCCTAGTTCATACGAGAGCCAGACATGTACTCTTTCTAACACCGTTGGAATTTTCGGATTCCGATGTTCCTGTGAGGAGTTATCATGCCCGCCATCAAAAATAAGGACTTTTATTTAATTACGAAAAACAACAACAAAACAATAACAAACTTTTTTTTTGTAAATTATTTTTCTTCTCTTTTAAATCAATTATATATGTGCAAAGTTACAAACCTTAACAAGCATTTGTATTCATTTACCAGCCCATTGAAAATCTTGAAAAATTAAAATCGAGAATGGGGGGGTTCCCTTAAATAAAACATTGTTATAAAAAATATTCCATTTACATATTTATATTGTATTAAGAAAGTTTAGATTTATTTTATTAAAATAGCAAATATAGCTGCCGACATTTAGAAACATATATGGGAAATTACGAAAATCTTTTAAATTCCTTGAAGCTGAGGTTTTCAAGGTTATAACTCGCGAAATATGAACATATTTCATATAATTTAAATTCATTTCTATAAAATGAAGTGTTTTTGTCATAATCTTAAAGTATTGGTAATAAATAATAAGTTGCGTGGAAGCTGTGATGGTGGTAATGTAAAAATATGGGTGAAAATGTGTTGAAGCCAACGAGTTTTTTTGCGTTCCTTCCTGATTTGTGGCTAAACTACACGACGCACGCACATGTGATCAGTGACTAAGTTGCAGAATACCCCATGGACAATATGTCAGCATCCAAAAAGGATGCTGACATTTTGAAGCCGGATTTTCGGTGTTTTTTGAATTTTTCTTATAATTAGGATGCGCATCCCGATAATGGACTAAACTAATTATATGATTGTAGAACTCGTGATTTTGCTTCGTTTAGTGTATATCTCATGAATGTGCCCACCGTAGCTTCTTTGCAATTGGGTTCCAAAGACGATAATTTGGTGCGTAAATTTTTATAAAAAACATATTTTTTGAGTCTAAAATTAAGAAAGTCCATTAAAATTCCGTGGAACGCCGCGTGATTTTAGTTTTTTTTATGTGTGAGATCTAATGAGCCCATCCATGTTCAATTCCGCCCAATAAAACGGCGGATATAGGTACCTTGAATGTGGGAAAAACTGCAAAAACTTATTTTGACAAATTCGCGTATATAATCGCGTTTTTCTTCGAATTGATTTCACATACATTCATTCTTGTGTTATCATATTCGCGAATCTGTGTGAAAATAGCTCAAAAATATATCGATACGCGGTTAATATGCGTATTTTATTCAAAATCGATTGTGGAGGCACATCCGCGGTTCTTAACCGATTCTTTTAAAATAGGTGTCCTTTTGTTTATTTTTATAGGAGATTACTGAAATCGGATGTTGCGTGATTATTAGGGTTTTTGCATAGTAAAGTGCATCGGGCGGCACACTTTGACCGCTAAATTAAACATCGAAAAATTCATAATTATTGAAAGACATTCATTCGGTTTATACCTAAACCACATGCGCATCAACTGATTTCAACTAATACGCGAATTGCATGCTTTTAAATATTGATAATTTTTATGTATTGTAACTGCAATATATTTAGTCATTTTTACAGTTGAAACTGTTATCAGATGAATATACCGATATTTAACAATCATCATCAATTATTTTATTTCATATATCTTCATGCTTCTATTTGTTTTTCGCCACAATTTAACCGTATTTGACTAGTATGCAAAGAAAACAAATGTGTTTAACCATTTGTGAAGAAATTCGCGAATTACAACAAAAAGGAATTAATTTAATTTATATTTGAAATACAAGATTTAAAATCGCTATAACTTTTGTGCGCAGCATCCGAATTTGTGAACGCGAACATATTTCGAATCAGCATATTTTTCTTAACCTATGTACCAAAAATAGGTGTCCTTTTGTGTATTTTTATAGGAGATTACTGAAATCGGATGTTGCGTGATTTTTAGGGCTTTTGCATAGTAAAGTGCATCGGGCGGCACACTTTGACCGCTAAATTAAACATCGAAAAATTCATAATTATTGAAAGACATTCATTGGGTTTATACCTAAACCACATGCGCATCAACTGATTTCAACTAATACGCGAATTGCATGCTTTTAAATATTGATAATTTTTATGTATTGTAACTGCAATATATTTAGCCATTTTTACAGTCGAAACTGTTATCAGATGAATATACCGATATTTAACAATCATCATCAATTATTTTATTTCATATATCTTCATGCTTCTATTTGTTTTTCGCCACAATTTAACCGTATTTGACTAGTATGCAAAGAAAACAAATGTGTTTAACCATTTGTGAAGAAATTCGCGAATTACAACAAAAAGGAATTAATTTAATTTATATTTGAAATACAAGATTTAAAATCGCTATAACTTTTGTGCGCAGCATCCGAATTTGTGAACGCGAACATATTTCGAATCAGCATATTTTTCTTAACCTATGTACCAAAAATCATGAATGTGCTCGCAAAAAAAATTTTCAAAATTTTTTTAATGGAATTTTAAAAGAATTTTGTAATTTCCCATATGCAATACTGGATTATTAATCTTTCTTCATGAAAAGTTTGACAAGGGTATTATATGGACCCTTTGTTAATGGAGGTAAAAATACTACGTTGTGCAAAATTTGGGTCGGATATTATACAATAATTATTTTTGCAAAATTTTGACCATTTGTAGGGGAGATACTGGAATGAATTGTCTGATATTCTCCATCTTCGAACATGATTTATGTTTGGAAGAAATATGATATTACGATGTGCGAAGCTTGGATTAAATCTGCAACTCCATTCGAAAGTGTATAGAAATTGAGTTTATATGTAAAAACTTTTTCTATTAGTTTTCCGATAATGAACATTTTATTTTAATCGAATTGAGAGAGTTTTCTTCACAAAAAAAGTCAGGAGTGAGTCAAATTGGCTCTCTTCCGTACATGTATGTATGTATATACTAAACAACAATAAATCTATTGTGTAAAAACCATGTCTAATCTTGTAGAAATCCACTCAAAACTGATTATTTGAATGAATCGTACTTTAGAATACATATTTAAAATTTTCCCAATTTTAAGAAAAAAATAGTATTTTTTTAAAAAAGAAAAGTTTCGAAATTACAGTATCTCCCAATAATTTTAAATTGCACCACTGCATTGGGAATCTTTGTTATTTGCTGTTAATAAGAAAATGCAAATGAAAAGTATTTAATTCCCATTCAGTACACCTGTTATTTTTAAGTTACTATGCTTACTGAACCTTAAATATTATAATCAGAATGCTGAGGCTCTGCAGAACACCCCCCCCCCCCCCCTCCACTATTTTATATATAAAAAATATACTGCCAACAAACCTTGCCATTTAATTTGGCAATTTCCCACATTTTTCCCAATATATTTGAAAAAGAATGTGCTACCGCATTGAAAGCTGGTAATAAAATAGTTTGAATTGCTTTATAAATTCCTCGTGTCCTACTTACCAAAAGATATGCTGTGTATGACCGAGTACAAGATGTACAGTGGAATAACAGCTATGACCATAAGAAGCAATGACGTTAGACCCAGTCGCCAATGGAAATACCGCGAACTGCTGTCCAGAACTCCCAGAATTTCGAAAATAATTAGCTCGAACATAGTCAGCGACAAAGCAAACGTCACAGAGAATATAAGCTGAACTGATATGTGGCGAATCTCATAGTTCTTGAATAGTTGTTTGACAAAGAAAATCCAACCACCAACAAAAAACAGTACCTGAAAATTAAATTAAAATGTGGAGCTGGTGTTGAACGGCTATTTGCCAAGGGCACATACCGCACATACCTGTGAAACGAATACAATAGTTGTGTCCTCCAAGAAAGCCATTTCGCTCCGGAAAAACTTTAGTTGTTATTGTACACCACCTCTCATCCAACCATTTCCAAGATTTATTGAAAAACAGCTTTGTTAGTTGTACCTGTTGATGTTGGCGCCTTTCTTCCAAGCGTGTCTATGCGTGACTTTCTCGTAGAAATAGAATCGGTTTTAAAATCCCCAAAACATTGGGCTTGCTGTCCCGTATTGTATTGTTGTTGTTTTTGCAGTTTTTTTTTTTTATCAGTTTTATATAATTATTTTAAAAAAGTTGTTGTATTAAATTCATCCTCAGAATCTAGTTCTACCGTAGGAAGATCTTTAACACGGCTGGATAAAGGAATGGCTTAATTACCGCCGTAAAGCCATCCGAGAATGTATAAAGAAATTATTTTGGTTGTTTTGTTGTAACTGAATAAGTGCGATGACAACCTATAAATATATAACAAAAAAAATAAATCAAAATAAATACAACATTTTCCATTTAAAAGAGATACATACCTGTTTTTAAATAATTGATTTTTAAACTTTAAGATTTTAGTGTTTTCGTGTTTTGGTCGACCATCTTATATTTGACAAAATTAGCGTAGCGTAGTATCTTACCGATAACACCGATAACGTCGACAACAAATTAATTGATAATTTTCGATCTGTCGATAGAAAAATCTATCGTGTGACAGCTTGGGGGATTTTAATCGAAAATTGCCGATATTGCTTCTTACTTCAGAACTTTTAGCCGTTAACTTCACTCTAGTTTAAAAGAATCTTCAGACCAAAATAAAGTTCGGTCAATAGATCTAGTAAGATAAATGGCGCAATCAGAGCTGGACTTTATGGCAGTTAGCTCATTAAAGGTTGGCCTTCCGTTGCAACGGAAAGTCTTTCCTGCTTTCAAATAGTAATCGCAAATCCAAATTTTAGAATTCCAGCTTGGTCTGTTCATTAAAAACAAAATTGTACCAGATCTAGTACCATTCTGTAGTTTTCGTACCTATATTCCAAACCTGCTTTGAAATTTCAGTTCTGTTTGTTCATTAAAAAGCAAATAGTACCAGATTTGGTATCATTCAGTATTTTTGTATCCATATTCCAAACCTATATCAATCCTACACTCCCACAGTATCCTAAGATGCAAAATTCAGATTCAAATTCTACCCGTTCACAAAAGTTCAAATTGTACAAAATTTTGTGATTTTCGTACCCAAAACTACGACTTCAATAAAAACCTTAAGTCCAAATTTAAGGATTCCAGCTCCATCCGTTCACCAACATACAAATTGTAACAAATTCAGTACCATTTATTACTTTTTGTAGAAGTACGAGATTCTAAAACTTTCTCAATTCCACACTTATTTTTAATCATAAATTGCAGGATTCCAACCTTATGCGTCCTCATAGATCCAAATTTAGTACCATTTGGTACTTTTCGTACTTATGAGTTTGGATTTCCAACACGGTCTGAATCCTGTACTCTAACCATGGTACAATTATAAAAGGTAACAGCAAATCCTAGCTGATTTGATTCCAACGTAATACTAGTGTCAATATGAATTTGACAAATTATGTTTTTAAAAATCACCCAACAGCAAAATTGGGAACGCATACAATCTGAAATTGTTCTTTATTAATGTGCTCCCATATTCAATTTACTCAATCTGCCTGCTGGGAAAGTTTGAGGAAGCAAATCTTTCATGAAGGAATTACTCGCTATTCCCAGCATTGTCATATGTGTTACACATATATATGGCAATGACTTAATTAAAGGAAAGATGTGGAAGCGATAGAAATATAAATTTGATAGATTTTCATTCATGTTTTTCAATTTTTATTTTGAGGATTCGTAAATATTCCATTTTCAAAATAAAAATAATTTGATGATAATTTGTTTGTTTGTTTACATTTTTCTGTCAAATAATAAAAGGTAACAGCAAGTGTTGTTGTACAAAAAACGATACAACAACCACATGGAAATTTGTTGTTGTAAGTTCTACTAGTGTCAACTCATTTGACAGAAAAATGTAAACTATCGCTTCCACATCTTTCCTTTAATTGAGCCATTGCCATATATATGTGTAACACGTATGAAAATGCTGGGAATAGCGAGTTATTCCTTCAAGAAAGATTTGCTTCCTCATTTTTAAAATTTTTGACATTAGACTTGAGAAAAAACAGCTATTTTCCGATTTCGATTACTATCTTGGTGACCTTATTAATAGATCTTGCCAAAAATGTTTCAATAGTTATCAAAAATGTTTCAAGTGTTGTTGTACAAAAAACGATACAACAACCACATGGAAATTTGTTGTTGTAAGTTCTACTCAAATTTAAAATGTAAACTATCGCTTCCACATCTTTCCTTTAATTGAGCCATTGCCATATATATGTGTAACACGTATGAAAATGCTGGGAATAGCGAGTTATTCCTTCAAGAAAGATTTGCTTCCTCAAACTTTCCCAGCAGGCAGATTGAGTAAATTGAATACGGAAGCACATTAATAAAGAACAATTTCAAATTGTATGCGTTCCCAATTTTCCTGTTGGGTGATTTTTAAAAACATAATTTGTCAAATTCATATTGACACTAGTATTACGTTGAAATCAAATCAGCTGGGATTTGCTGTTACCTTTTATAATTGTACCATGTAAAACTACATTCATATCTAAATCCTACACTCCACCCTTAATTTTAATTCCAAATTTTAGGATTCCCGCTCACTCAAAACTAATTGTACCATATTTATTACCATTTAGTACACATAAGTAATATGCATGGCCTATAAATAAGGTCACCAAGATAGCAATCGAAATCGGAAAACAGCTGTTTTTTCTCAAGTCTAATGTCAAAAATTTCGACTTTGTTTACGTTTTCATAATGGAAGTCAATTCACAATAATGCATTTTGACAGCAAACTTGAGAGGTATCGATAATCAGCTGGTCTCCCTTGGTGACCTTATTTATAGGCCATGGTAATATGCTTCCATATCTCAATTCTATTCACCCCTATTCCGTATGTTGTCGTCGTTGTCGACGACGTTTCTCTTTCGACATCACTTCGCATCGACATCACTTTGACACTGATTTGGTATTCTGTAACACTCATGCGACGATGTCGACTATTTATCGATAATAATATCAATAAAAACAAAAACACATCTCTAAAAATGTGGTCAGCTGTTTATTTTGTTGCATATTTTTGGGCAAAAATGTGTTTGTATCCTTCACCGCACTGTGGCACAGAGCATTATGTCTTGGTAAATGTGTTTGCAACGACCAAAAAGAAACGATATAGACCCATAATTACTTTTTAGTATATATATATATATATATATATATATTTATTTTTTATTTATTTATTTATTTTATTGCCACGAAAAAGCCATCTGGCCAATAAATATCGCAACATGCCAAAACTACAAAAGTGTACTTCACATTATAAAACGCATCTTATAGCTATACAGTATATATCTTAATATAAATTATGAATTCTAAGTAACAAACTTTAAAGCATATTTAAATTCATTTTAAAACTAAACAGTTCATATACTAACATAATATATGGATTTTAATTAACAAACTACAAAGCAGAAAAGGCTCCCCAGCCATGTAAAAATAAAGCAGTAAAGACTTTGTTGGTAATATCTAAGCAAAAGAACTGAATAAAGTCGCATCTACCAAACAAATTAAAAAATACATTAGTCCAGCATGTAATTAACAGCAAAATCTTCAAACTTGCGTTGAAATACACTGCGCGAATAAGAAAAATGTCGTAGTTCAACAGGAAGTTGATTCCACAAACGTGACGAACGAATAATAAAAGATCTTTCATATAAACAAGTGGAATAGCGCGGGAAAATTAACTTCCAGATTATGAAAACAAGTCGATCACGCAGGACACCGGGAAGATCTAAAGTGACAGATTTATATAGAAACGAAATAACTCTTTTCTTTACGAAAACAGAAAACGGTACTCCTAGAAATTCAGCCGCATAAGCTGAAACATGATCTGATCGACGTAAATTATAAACGTACCTTACAACCATATTGAACAATTTTTCTATTTTGTTAAAATGCTCATGTGTGGTGCCAGATACAACTTCTATACCATAAGAAATAAGCGATATTAACAGAGAATAAGCAAGATTTCTCTTTACAAATCGTGGCAAATAGAATTCAGTTGAGTATAATTTTCGAAGAATATTCATTACTCTAGGGTGTAGAGCATCAATATGAGCAGAAAAATCAAGTTTGCTATCAACAATAACTCCTAAGCACTTTATGCGATCAACGAACTCAATAATTAATCCATTAACACGTATATCTATACTATTGAGATCTATTAATAAGGTCACCAAGATAGCAATCGAAATCGGAAAACAGCTGTTTTTTTCAAGTCTAATGTCAAAAATTTCGACTTTGTTTACGTTTTCATAATGGAAGTCAATTCACAATAATGCATTTTGACAGCAAACTTGAGAGGTATCGATAATCAGCTGGTCTCCCTTGGTGACCTTATTTATAGGCCATGGTCACCAAGGGAGACCAGCTGATTATCGATACCTCTCAAGTTTGCTGTCAAAATGCATTATTGTGAATTGACTTCCATTATGAAAACGTAAACAAAGTCGAAAATTTTGACATTAGACTTGAAAAAACAGCTGTTTTCCGATTTCGATTGCTATCTTGGTGACCTTATTAATAGATCTTGGGGAATACCAATTTGGAAAAGACAACTCTCTTCGACGTCGTTTCGTGTCGACGACGACATCAGAATGGGGGTGATTATTCCTTAGTATCCAGCTCTCTCCAATCTAGTGCCGTTTAGTACTTTTCGTACACCATCTATGTTGACCCTTTCAAGCAAAATCCAAATTAAATAAATAAATTTAGTACTAACTACGAATTTTCCAAATTATACTGCAGCTCTATCTGTTCACGTAAATACAACTTGCACCAAGTTTAGTACTTTTCGTACAAACATGTACAATTTTGTTAAGTTACCTTAATCCTGTACTCCAATAGCAATTGTTATTCATATTTTAATGATCAGGTTTTAGAAATATAGATGACTAAAGTCAGATTAACGCCATTGTCGTCTATTTCACCTATGGTATGAATTTCAAAATAATCTGAGAGGTGTCCGTAAAGCCACCATCGCCACCACAGCGCCCGCGGGCGCTTTCTGTGTGCACTCATACAATCATAGTTTTGTTGAATAAACGACAGTTCACCACTCTAATTCCACCACCAAGTGGTTGCTTAAGAATTAGTCTCGTATGAAATTGATGAAGGAGGTTGTGTTGTCGCTTGTTTCTTTAATAAGCACGAAAAATGATCACCACGGGCCTTGTCTGTGAGACAAACACAATCAAAGCCAATGCATATGTGGTGGTTGGTTAACCCTGCCGTAAAGTGAATTTGTTCCAAACAATAACGCAAAAGAATCTCAAATAGATTTCGATTCCATAAATGCTTAAAGGGAACCCCCCACTAAAACAACTGAAACCAAAAATTCGAAAGAGCCAGACATGTGACTCTGGCTTCGCTGGAAAATTGGTAAAATGGCGGACCTAGGAAAATCGCCAATTTTCGAATTTATCACAATTCATACGAAAACTATGTAGGTCCAAGGTTAATAGTTCTTGAGTTATCGTAAAAACTCATTTGCATATTTACGGGGAATAGAAACATAAATGTCACAAATGTACCTCATTGAATACAAACACGACTTTTTTATTTTACTTTTCTAATTATTAAGTTATTTGTGTTGGATTTTGCGGTTGATTTGGCTAATTGATGGGATTTCGTCACTGCAATGGAAGGACTGACGGCATTCCTATTCTGAATTTGTTTGTTAATCAACTTGACCTTCATACCTCCCTTAGACTGGAGCTTCCTCAATATTTGCAATGTCTTTTCATCAGTAACAACGCTATCAGCAGGAGAAGTATTGTCCGTTTTAGGATTAGTGCGCTTTATTTGTAATCCCAAGCTGGAAAGTTTGTTCAATATCTGGGCAGTCTCCTTCTCTTTGGTAGGTGTTTTCAACTCATTGCTAAAAGTTGACGAATTTGAAATGGATTCTTTTGCTGAAAACATATTGCTTTGGGGGACGACCTTAGTTTGGCCTAAGCCTATGTTAGCCGTTGAGGAATTGTCAGCGATTTTAATCCTTTTATTAGATGCAGGTAAGAAATTTGTAACATTTTGTTTTCTTTCCAATTCATGGACCATTCCGTTAACTATGTTACCAACAGAAGGCGTCCACTTTCCTTTTGTTTTTGCCACACATCGTTCCTTTCCTTTCGCCATAGTTCTGGAGTCATTTTGCACCTTCTGATTCTTAACCCCATTTCTTATGGGGGATTCCTTGAAATGTACGAATGGCGTCACCTCCTCAACTAATACCTCATACTGTTTTTGGGAGGTTTTATTTGTATTGGAATTTAAGGAACTACCATTATTTCCCGTGGTATACCATTTTGGATTAAGCAGTTCCTCTTCTATGTCCAGCAGGTCAATGAAAGCATTGTTTATTTTTACAAATTCCACGTCGGCATAATCGTATATAAGAAACTAAAATAATTTGTAGGAGTTACAAAATAGTTATTATGAACATTTGCAAATGAAAATTACCAACCAACCTCATTCATATCGTTAGTTGTCCTTCCCACTTCATGGGTAGACTTCTCACTCTGATATTTCAATTGGTGCCTTCCAGTCTTGAACCTGGAAAAATTTATGCATGAATCCAGGTGCTGCAAAAAATCCTTCACATCGCCCTTTATATCACGTTTACATATATTGCATATAATAAATAATTCAAAATTCTCTCCCATGAGAATTTGCCCAAAATTCACGCACTTTATAGATTTCATTTCCATCTGTATTGGGATCTTAATGGGAACAGGAGCGAAGTCCGTCCATGGAATTCAAAATTCATTAGCTTTATAATTTTAAAAATACTGCAATTCAAATAAACATTTTATAAAATATTCTTGCCTCGGAAAATTATTATTGCAAAGACACCCCAAACAAATTAAGAGTTCGCCATTTTGATTTATTATTCAGCTGATACATGAATTTAAAATTAGTTTAAATATTTTGTGAATATGCTGTTTCAAAAATGTTCACTTTTTAATATTAATATCGTAATATCCTTGTCAAATTCCTTGTTTTATTGGTTTTATTTGTTAATAAACAAACACAACTCAATAATAATAATAAGAAGAAGAAACAATTGCACAAATCTTTGATATGATAACGCGCTGATGACAAATTTAAGGGTAGCTCACATTCATGGATTGTACATTACAACCCTGTAAACCGCGGTGGAAGCAAACGAGACGAGGGCCACATTAATCAGCTGTTTCATAGTCGACACTAAACGGCGTTATTACAAACAAAACCTCTCAAAATAAGAAGAATCACTTTGAGATGATAACGAGGAAATATTTGGGTGCGTTCGTATATTTTTAAATTCAAACTCTTTGCAAGCATACACTTTTAAGTTTTAATTACGCCTACGGCTACTACTACTACTATTCGCTACAGAATTTCATAGCATAAGAATCAGTGGGCCTACGCCTAATTTAAGCTGAAAGCAATTTTCACCAATCTCTTTGAGACAGTCTTAGATCATGGAATATTCACAACTTGTATTCAACATAATTTCCCAGGTATAACATTTATATAAATGATGCACTGGTGTTGGGAACTGCTAGATGTTTACAGCTATTGCCTAAAAATGAGCCTCAATCATGACCTTACGCCATCAGAGAACCAGCTTGACGTGGTTGACGGTAGAAACGTGAGATAACAATTGCTTCAATCAATTATTTATTGATTTTTTACATAATTTGTAATTTTCAAATCCCGTAATGTGATTCATGAAATATATATTATTATTATGAACTAGATTGTATATACACGGTATATTAACGCCTATTTTTTCTTGCCTTTGTCCTTTTTCGTAAAGCGGGGCGCTCCAAAGCTTTTTCCTTTATTGAACTTATTTTTGCCCGCCTTATTAATTAGTTTGACGTTGCTGGTCTTCTTTTTGGCTGTAATCTTGTTCATCTTCTTATGGCGGTTTGCTTCTGATCGTAGGCGCAATGCACCACTACGACTTATATCAGTTAAATCGTTAGTAAACGCCGAATGGTTACCTCCTCGCTTATTGGAGTTGCTCGATGAGTTATTTTTATTGGCGGGGGCATCGGACACGGCGCTCAATTTACCGGGGCGTTTTCGTAACTTTGATATCTTTGCCCTGACTAAAGACACTTTTTCAATTTCTTTCATTGCTCTTTCCTTAGCAAGTTGTTCAGGGGTTTTCTTTTTGGGCTCCTCTTTCTTTTTCTTTTTGACAGCTAAATCCTTAACTGGTGGACCATCTTCGCCGTCACCGCCATATTCGCGTTTTTGTGATTTCTTTGGCTTTTCCGATTTTCCGCCAGTAGAATCCAGAGCTAACCGTTCCTTCTCTTCTTCGCGCTGTTTCTTCGTTTGGAACCAGTCTCGATGTTCACCATTAGAATTGCCCAGCAACTTCCGCTCAGTTTTTGACAATTGTTGTTCCATTTTGGCAAGTTGCCGCTCAGCTTGCTCTTCATCTAATATGTTTTCTAAATTAAGAACAAAATCAAACAAAGTTAATAAATGGACGTATGACCATACATACATACACATGTTCAACTTACGTATCTCCGGTTCCAGGGCTATCAACTTTTTCCTATATTTTTCTATGATCTCGGGAGGAATTATGCGATTCTTGATAGATCCTTCAGCGTTTTTTATAATGTCTTTGACGATTTTCCTTTCTTTTTCACCCGCCAATGATACCGAAATACCAGCTCTACCAGCCCGAGCAGTTCTACCAACTCGATGAATGTAATGTTCTGTAGTTATTGGCATTACAAAATTGATGACAGTCTTAACACCAACAATATCCAGGCCTCTGGCAGCCACATCGGTAGCAATAAGAACGTCGATTTGCTCATCTTTGAACTTCTTTAGTGATTCCAAACGTTGTTGCTGTGTTAAGTTTCCATGCAGTTCGCCGGCACGTATACCAAGTAAGCCAAGCAGTATGTGAAGTCTATGAGCTTGCTTTTTCGTCTGCACAAAAACCATACAATGGTCATGAAATGTACGGCATATAAGACTGGCCAAAATCGGCTCGCGGTCGCCTTCCTTGTCCTCGCGAATACGAATGAACTCTTGGCGCAAATTGAATGCAACTTGTTGATTGTTGTTGACAAAAACTTTGATAGGTTTGTTGAGGGATACAGCGGCCAAATCCTTAACTTTCTCGCTCATTGTTGCAGAAAAAAGCATTGTTTGTCTGGTTTTTGAGCATGAATTAATAATTTCTTTCATCTGTTCGGCAAAATATTCATCCAACATTCGATCGGCTTCGTCGAGAATAAGAACCTGTAATAAAACTGTTATTAGCCACACTACAAATGGCACACGATATTTGTACATTAAAACCGAATTCAGGATACGTAGCAATATACGTATCATGGTTTTATGTCCTCATATAGTGTCTAGGAGCGCAAGGATTGAATCATCATATGCTATGTCAATTCAATTAAGATTTTAGTATACCGATTTATTTTACCTCAATGGAGTCCAAAGTAAAGCTTGGCGTGTTTTTAATGTGATCAATTAAACGACCAGGTGTGGCAATCACTATATCTGGATTCTGTCTCAGAACAATTTCCTGGGCCTTGACATCTAAACCACCAATAGCTAAACCTGCATCTATGTTTGTAAACTGACACAGTTGCTTAGTCACTTGGTACACCTGAGCACCCAACTCACGTGTTGGCACCAACACTAGAACTCTAGTAACCGTCTTATTGTTCATTGGACGGTATAAGAGACGCTCCAATGTGGGTAACATATACGCCGCAGTTTTACCCGTACCCGTGGCAGCACAGCCACAGATATCTCGTCCAAGTAAAGCAACAGGGATCGTTGAAGCTTGGATTGGCGTTGGATATATATAACCCAATACGCCAATAGCTCTCATTAGGGGCCTGGAAAGATTCATTTGGTAAAACGAAGTGATAGCCTCATTCGAATCGATGGCTTCTTCAAATTTCATCTTCTCATCCTCATTTTCACTATCCTCCTCGTCACTGTCCGCATGTTTCTTCTTCTTTTTTATTTGTTTTTTCTCCCTCAATCGAAGATTGTCATGTTTCAGCTCATCTTCGGAGATATCAAGTTCCTCATCGCTATCATCATCATTATGTACTTCATGACTGCTGCCGTCTCCACGTTTTCTTAAGCGTTCCGCAATTTTGTCATCCGTTTTTGTACGTGCCTTCCGTTTTACATATTTCATCAAATCATCCCAGGTATCTTTATTATATTCCTTTACCGAAGATACGAATTCAAATCCCTTTTCAAATTCCGTAATTTTCCTTTGTTTTAGTTTCGTGGGTTGGTACTGAAAGGAAGGTGTTTACGACATGAAAATTCCATCACCTATTTCCTCGAATATCAATTCTTACCTCAACCTCGGCATCGGAATCTTCTGATAGGTTCTCAACCTCTGCATCGTCCTCAATTGTCGTAATCAAATCCATATTTTTAATTACGGTCATTTAGTCTGAATTTTTGATATTTTTGAAATGAAAATGAAAACTGAACCCTGAGCAAATAAAAAAACAAGAAACACTACACGTGAAGACTCAACATAGTGCTGCCAGATTGTGTTACCTAGAGTACCAAACGGAATGAATTCCGAGTAACGGCACCACCTAAATTTGGGCGTATGCCCTTGACGTTTTCATCGAAATACGCCGGTCGTACGAAATTTGGACACCTACACCAACAGAAAAAATATATGAATTTGTTGGATGTTTTCAAGATTGTATTGCTTACCGATATTTTAAAAAAATATTGTTTTGATTATTGCACAGAATATGTGTATGTATATGTTCTCTCAATAAATCCATTTAAAACGCAAAGAGCGCGCAACGCGCTGATTGGGCCTTGGCCCTAAAGCAAATTTGACATCACTAACTTTACCCGCCATTGGAATTACCAGTTATTTATTTGGTATTGAATATCCGACGCTAATAATGAAACCCAAAGACGCTACGGGGATATTCGTGCTCTATATTCCTTATTTGCAAATAAATATTCGAAAACTGCAAAAATAGAATAAATATTTTGTTATTTTCGAGATATAAATGAATTCGGACATTCCCTGTTATGCGTATTGTATATTTGCAGTGTTGAGATATAAACACAACCAATATTCGCAAAATGCTTGTGTACATGCTCCGGTGTTAAATGAAAATGGAAGATATTGAATACTTGGAAGAGTATGAAGAAATAGTAATTCGAAATTCGGGTAAATCCTATTCATTGTCTTGCGTGTGAATGGCAATAAAAAGCTAAAGGTTTTTCATTTACGTTGGTTTCGTTAAAGCTTTAAATCTAGGAGCTGCTGAAGATTCGAAGAAGACCAAGCCAAATGAAAATATCGATGACGAAGGATCCTCATCATCGCTAGACCAAGACATATTCAATTGCCTATTTGATGACAATTCGGACGACGACAATGAAGAACAACAGCCTAAATGTGGTAAGTGGTAGCAATATGACCCATACCATTTCTTGAGTGTTCCATGCTCAGGAGTGTTTCCGTTTAATTTAGTTAATACGTGCACTGGTAAATTTCTAAAATGTGTACTAACATTTTCAGACCTGCCGAAGACTAATCAGCAACGTGAAGTAAGACCTTCATTGGATTCAATCGATTTGATAAACGATTTAGGTAACTGAAAGTGTACTCAACACCCATTTGTTTTATTGATTTATTTTCTTTGGACAGGAGAGCAAATTGCAAAGGAATTCGAAATAACCAAAAGTGTTACAAAACATCCAAAAGATACAGTTAGTGCAGAGAAGAATTGTAAGTAATTAACAAGTATAGCGGAATCTTGTACGTAATTTTATTTTTCACATAGCATCTTCAACGTGTAAGCCGAAGTTGGATATCACAAAGAACAGCGGCATTAATAAGGCACCTAAAGGAAAAAACATAATTGTTAAAAAGGTGATACCTAAAAGATTTAATATTATTAATGATAGAACGAGAAGTTCCCCTCGACCCGCTTCTCTTGTATTGGACAAAACAAAACCAAAGATAGCACCAGTTTTCAAAGGTGTTCCGATTCCCTCAACATCAAATGTTTTAAAGAAAAACATTGTTCCAAAACCTCAAATCGTAAAGCAGCGTCCTGCGACGATTATAAAGCCAGAAAAAATTATATCCAAGGATCCACCACAGGACCCATTAAGTATGTAAAGTTCAAATATAAGGAAGTAATATTGGCGATATCGAATTATGAATATATATTTTTATAACTCTCTATTCATTTTTAGATTTAGACGAGCTTTCATCCACAGAGTCGGCTAACTTCTCATCCGTTTCTGATATAACAGGAGAAACGTACAACAGCGTAAGTGAATTTGATGATGATGATTACGACTTTACAAGTCATGTTGAGAATATAGACGAAGACGAGGAATCCAATAGTTCTCAAATCATAGATATATCGAATGATTCTAGTGGATCACGTTCACAGTTTGGTGAGTATTTTTGTTATACTTCCCTTTTTAGCTAAACAACTGAACATTCAAATATCGCTATTCAAACGCTCAGACATTCTGCGCGGCTCTACACCATCGCCAGTTGTATCGGAAGACAAAGAAGTTCATAATTTACCCGGCACTTCAAAGGCTACAACATCCCCAAAGCTCATGGCAAATCACGAGATCATTAAAAATCTAATGAAGAAGGAGGGGAAACCAAAACTGTTGCAACTCATAAATGAACAGGAAAGCATACTTAAAGAAAGCAAAATAAAATCTAAAGGTAAGGTCTTGATTCATAGTTTGAATTGCTGATTTATGAATTTTCCGTTTTTATTGCTTGGACTCACAGATACGGCAACAGTGCCAGCTCGCAATTCTGAAGATGTAGAGTCTTCCGAATCTCAAGATTCTTATTTGTCAGTTGTGAATGAAATGCTAGAAGAGTCGTATGCCGAAGCGATGAAGAATAATAAAAATGAAACATTGGCAAATCAAGAGGTTGGTGCCGAAATGGAAATTTCTGTAGAAGACATTACTGAAGCAACAAATGCTGAAGATAAGTCCAGTGGAGAGACAAAGTACGACTCAAATGAAAAATCGGAGGATAAAGTAGGAGAATGTAAAGAAAAACAGCAAGCAACTGGGTTCAAACAACAATCCAACATTACTGAAGCAACAAATGCTGAAGATAAGTCCAGTGGAGAGACAAAGTACGACTCAAATGAAAAATCGGAGGATAAAGTAGGAGAATGTAAAGAAAAACAGCAAGCAACTGGGTTCAAACAACAATCCAACGTGTCAGATGCAGACAAATCTAATGCAACGTCACCAGCCTTGGAAAAAAGTAGACCAGGCAGTCACGAGAGGATACCAATTATATCTATTGGTATAAAAACGATATCCCACAAAGAAAAATCAGGTAACAAATCAATGTCTGAAATTAAAAATCGTGATTTCGACAAAGAATACTCTCCGGATGAGAGGGAATTTCAAGGATTTGCTGAAGATATTATTAAAACAACCGTCGAATCTAACGAACAACAAATGTCGACATTTCCCAAACCATTGGAAGCACAGAAGACATTACTAGAAACGAAGGACAAAAGAAAGGAAATATTACGAAAAGAAATCAATCTTACTGATGCCAATAAAAGGACACAGTCTACAACAACAACAAAAGAACAAAGTAAAGGCATTATCAGAAATCCGTTTGTACATAGAAAAGTTAACAATGAATCGACAACAGTTGGCTCTAGGAAACGTGATGCTGATGATGATAAAATCAAAGGCACTTCTATTGCCGCCAATAGGAACATCAAGGAAAAACTACAAGTACAAAAGAACACAGAATCTACTGAAGAAACAAGTCAAGGACAAAAAGAATTGGTTCTGAAACAAGATAGATTTGCTCCGAGATCAAAAGCTGAAATAAAAACGGACTCATCGAAGACAAGTCCGAAAGCTGAAAAGGTTCCCAAGATCTTCAGTGGTGAATCAGAAAATACTACTTCCAAATCAAATGAAAAATCGGGATCATCTGAGCAAAGAAATAACGCAGATTATAAAAAAAATGGGGACGAAAAAAATGCAACGCAGCGCGAAGAAGGTTGTCAAGTGAAATCAAAAGTATCCTCAACCACAGAGAACCGACTGAACGATGCTGAAACCGACATTGACAAAGATGTATCGCAGAAGTCATCAGAAGTAAAAATACTTGAAAAGAAACATTCTGATGTTTCCGGAACATCTGTGCATGGCAACAATGCCGTTGATGTTGAAGCCGTTAGAACAAAAAACATAATCGAAATGACGAAACGACAAACAGGCAAATATGAAAAGGCTGTTATGAGTCCTCACAATAAGTCGGAGTCGACGAACAAAATATCGGACAGCAATTCAATTGGAGATAGTTTCGAAGGTAATAGACAAAATCAATTAGAGTTTAAGTCTAGCCAGACAAGTGAAAATCAATGCAGTGCAGAGGAAGGCGGTAAACTTGTTAATGTCCTGGAAAACAAGGTGGATGAGTCCATGAAAATAAAAACAACACTATCGTCAAACACGGAATATCCTAGTTCCAGCCATACAAACAATAATCAATGCCATGCGGAGGAAGACGGCAAACTTATTAATGCACAGGAAAACAAACTGAACGATGAATCTGTAAAAATAAGAACAACAACATTATCTTTTAAAAAGGAACCAACTAGTTCCAGCAATACAAACGACAATAAAGTGGATGACAAATCTCCAGTACTGATTACGAGCTCGGATAAAAGCGACAAAAATGACATAACTAAAGCTCAAGTTAATAGAGTTGTCGATTTCGAGTCGATGTTCTTTGGTGGCATAGACAAAGATCAGCAACAAAATAAAACAAATGATCAGGATATCCCAAAAGCATTTAGCCATGAAGTGGCGGCAGATCAAGCAGAAAGCAATTCTGAAGATCACAAAAAAAGTATTCGCAAAGTTAAAGGCACGAAAAGAAACCAAAGATGTAAGAACAAGAGTGGAAATGGTGATTTTAAGGCAAAAGAGCTTCAAATAAAAGGATCGACAAGAAGCATGAACATTTCAACAACTAGCGCTACCATTTCAAGTGTGGAAGGAAAATGTGGACAGACAACAGGGAATTCAATCACAGCCAGCAATAAAAAAACTCGAAAAACAAACATCAGCAAAGACCAAGGTACAACACAAACGAATTGTAAAAATGTTGTTACTGACTCATCTACGACTGGCTCAGTACCTCAAAATGATCAGAATATGGCTTCCCAGGACACCACACCAGTTGACCAAAGGCCAATAATAGAAAAATCTGTAGAAACTACTGCGATAATAAGCGGTTCGCCAAAAAAGAATAAGGTATCAACAATTAAACCCCCGCAGCATTGTTATCCAATAGATGAGAAAAAGAATGAAACTGAAGGCGCCAATTTAAGCTTGAACATTTCTGACGGAAATAGTATTAGTAAGAAGAGCGGAAGTACATTAGATCCTGTAGGAGACAGTAAAGCAATTGATGATACAAAGATAAGGTCATTGGCTAGAAAGCCGCCTCGCAGAAATATTTCTAATAAGGACAATGCAAAAACCAATAACGTTGTAAAAGATTTGCCAAAGGAAGAAATTAAAAGTAATATGTATCCACTGCCTCAAAACAAAGATGATTCGCCTCGTACAATGGAGACAAACTTGGAAAATGCTGAGCAAGTGAGAATATTGAGAAAGCGTGCAATGGATTCGCCAGTAAATGGTAAGTTGGAAATAAATTCCCTATTCCACACGTTGTAATTTGTAATAATAATTTAGTGTCCAAAAATATGGATATACTGCATAAAAAACCTTTGTTACATGTGGATATGGAATGTAATAAGAAGCGAGTATTACGTTCCCCTGCGCACCAATCTGTAGCTGTACCTCCTAAAAGAACTAAATTAGATAGAAATGGTAAGATGGTAACATTATGCCATACTCTCATATTGTATTTTCCATTTATAATTTCGTGATAAAACTGTTTCTATGTTACCTATATTTTTTATGAAGTTCGAGCCAAAAATGTGACCGATAAATATTATGCAACTGGTGCGATGCCCTCAGAAAGTAATACGGATCAGTCTCGCCCAAGATCGATCTCCAAACAAATCAATGAATCTGTTAATCCAGAAGAAAACGCCCAATTAGAGGTTGCAAACCAAACAGCTCTGCCCGACGCATGTATACGTGATGATAATGAAGCGAAATCAGTTGCAGAAACCCGATCGATTTCAAAAGAAGTAAATATGACTGTCGAAAATCTAATGAATGTGTCGGTTAATACAATGCCAGTCACTAAAGTTTCTCCGACTAAAAAGTCAATCCAGACAGACAAGAAACGAATAAGACACTCTTCGAACAAATGTGACCTGGATAATAGTAGCATTCCTTCATCGGTATTGTCGTTTGCTGAATGGTTAGACAAAAACAAAAAAATCGAGCCGGCTGAGGAAAAGCGGGTAGAAAATGTCGTTGAAAATTGTCGTTCGCGAAAGTCGTTTAAATCGAAAGGTATATCGTACAAGCATGGCAGTCATGGTCCAGAAATTTGCTCCGAAAAGGGGTATAAAGCCGAAATGAAACAGCAGAAAGCAGACATGACAGAATGTGAAACAAATATTCAAACGGATGGCTTATCCAAAGCTTCAAGCTCCCGTTCACGTTCTAGAATGAAACGACGTACTATTGGAAACACACAGCAAACATCTAATATTAAGCAAAAGATAGATGTAGTTCGACCATCTTCGGCCAGTCCGACAAAAGGTGACAAGCTAAAAAAAAGAACTGAAATTGAAAAACTGATAGAATCGATGTCGAAGGAAATGAAGGATGGCGGAATCGAGGACTTACTTAACAGAAGCGACCACGTAAAGCGACAAAGGCTGTCTTTAAAAAAAAATACCTCAACCGATTTAGTTGCAGCACCAGGACGGACGAAAGCCGACCAGGAAAATAACAATAAGACTAAAACAATCGGCGATATTGCGACAAATCCTTCTGACAATCGTCCACCAAAGTTTAAGAAACCGAATGTGCCCAAGAACCAAGACTTAGTTCTATCTATCGAAACCGAAAAGGCTCTCATTGATGAAATTGAAATTATAAACATGAATTCTAACTTCTTGAAGCCACTAAAATGTGGATCACCAATTCAAGTGGCAAATGGTAACCAAACCCAGTCTTCAAGGCACATCCATCTTAATAAAAGTAACATATCGAAGCCTAGTAACAAAACTGTACACTTCAAAGGGTGTCGCAAACTGAAGATACGAATTAATCGAAGTTTCGTAAATAGGTATTTGAGAAATCTTGAAAAGGAAAAGACTGCAGAATCATTGCTGCGTACAGAAAATGAGAAAAACGCAAACAAGAAAGGTATTTGTTTTATATATATTTTATTTATTTAAATTCATTGCTTCAAGGCCAGTCGTGTATTCCTAAGTAGGATTTAAAATTAATCAATATAAAATTATCATTTAAGTATTATATTATTTTGATTGAGAAAATGAAAATAGCTTAAAGAATAGTAAAATAATAATTTATATATACTGCATATATATATATAAATATATTGCTTCAAGGCCAGTCGTGTATTCCTAAGTAGGATTTAAAATTAATCAATATAAAATTATCATTTAAGTATTATATTATTTTGATTGAGAAAATGAAAATAGCTTAAAGAATAGTAAAATAGTAATTTATATATACTATATATATATTCTTTTGCCGTTCTTTATTCTCTTAGGAACACAATGCTCCACGCATCCTGTCCAAAAAGATATTCTGTCCGAAAATCGGGTACCGACAGTCAATAACAGTGTCAACATTCCTAAGATTTCATCAAATTGTGATGTTACGATATTGAGTACTAGTGAAAAAAATATCGGATCATCTAACCACGTTCTGCAACCAGAAAGTGGTAGAGGAGACGCAACGGTTTCAAAAGTTATACAAAATGTCGAGTGCCCAAATGAAGTTATGAATGGAAATAGCAGTGCTCTCTCTGGTGTTCCAGTTGAACTTAAACACGAGTTTTTGGATGAGACACCCGGTGGATCGCAGGAAGGCATACTGCCGGACACCCCAACTCTTATGGCGCGATCACATTCCATTACGCAAGCGGCAGCCAATGCTCTGGCAAGCACAATCATACCAACGGATATACGTCTGTTGACGAATGACCCTTTGACATGCATTCATGTTCCGTCTTTTGGGGTAACGCCGACTCTAATTGATGCAAAGGGGACACGAATGTACACATTTTTGCATCCTGCAAAGTACAGTCGGAATCATGGAAATGTGTTACTTGATTATTGCTGTCCCAACTTGGATGGTCCTATGCCAGCAATAGATCCCACACGAATACACGCACAAGTGCAAACTCCTGTCGTTGAATTACCAGAATTCATTGTGCTGACGACAAAGGTAGTGACGCGCGCCGAATTGGAGAGTAACTCCTCTACCATTCCTGAAGTTATACGGAAGAAGGCGGAGAAATTAAGAAGTAGTATAACAAATCAAAATGTCCAAATTGCTGCATCGGGTTCATCGCTTGTAGTGCCAGCCACGGACGGTTTGTTGCTAGAACGCGGTCGGACTAATCCAAATCAGCCACAGATTCCACAACAAACGCTACCAACAGTCATGCCTTTGATAATGAGACCGCCACATTTAACACCAGCTCCACACTTATCACCTGCTCTTAACGCACTTACTAAACACTTGCCATCCACCACAACCATTACTCCTAAAGTAAGACCAGCACTCCCACCGACATCACTTTCTATGTCGTTACCCCAAGCCAAGGTCAATCCAACAACATCTATATCTGTTGTGCCTAAGGCATCAGATTTGTTAAGTGATATGCAGCTGGAACTACTGCGGTCGAATCTAAGGCGTTTTGATGTAATACTTAAGAAACTAGCTCAACCATTTGATAAACTTAGTTTTATTGAACGGCACCAAATCATTGAGAATATTATAAAATCAGGCAAATTTCTCCCCAAGGACCTGGAATGGAGCATGGTCTTTATGGAAGAGTATTTGAAACAAGTTAATTCTGTGTCGCAACGCGAAATAGTATCATTAAACAATACCAATATTAGTTGCAATACAAAGAGTATTCCGTTGCCGATCACTCAAATGACAACATTGTCAGGCGCGCAAAGCATGGTAGAGCCAAAAACATCAGCCTTAAGAACCAATGCGTCATGTCCCCAATTTGAAGTCGGAATCAATCAAAATACTGGTGTGAGAAAACAGCAGTTGTCGTCAACAAAAAACGTCAAAGTGTCGGTGAATACGTCTAATATTAGAAAACGCCAAGTGCCTATATATGATACGGAGAAAAACATTATAGGATATCAACTACAAGTCATAACTCCAACTAACAGTGCGACGTCATCTTCCAAGGCAATAGGCAGACGATCTGAGGGAATGTTAATGCCAGAAATAAGAACTGCTCCTAAACGAGCAGCTCAAGGCTCTCCTCAAATATTTTACACAACACCCCCCTTGCAAACATCCGTACATCCAGGACACTTAAACCCGACTAGTAGTTCTCATGTAAGTTTTTCCTACTTCCAACTTGGTATACGTTAACACAGTATGTATTTTCACAAATGTCAACATTTTAGCAACATGGTTCTATTGTAACTACTATGCGTTCTTCGGGCTCGGCTACCGCAGGCACCGAAACCATTACAACAACGACAATGGCAGTGAAACGTGTCACACGTAGTCGGGCTGCGGGTTCAAAAATCATTATAATGTCCAAATCGAATAACAACGAGGAAGCTATATTGCCCGACGTTAGCCATCGCACAGAGATTAAAAATGAACAAGATGATGCAAATGAGTTTGCAGGATGATGCCATACGAAGCAAAGGACATATAAATGTGAGATATTTATTCGATAAAATGACTGTCGTCATCGTCATGCCTTGTAAGTCATGACATTTCACAATGTTTGAAATACTGTCAAGAATCTTGACATTGTTGATTTTAAGGGCAAACAAACCTGTATGTTTAAATATAAGATATATAATATTACATTATATTACAAATATCTACGATTGATTAAAATATATTACTTTTAAGAAATATAAACAATTATCGATGTGATGTAAACTTGGAAACATAAAAATTCGAGTGGGTTACGACTAAAACCCCGTTTAAGAAAAAGAAATATTCCATTCATTTTTGACTTGAATCGATTCGAATTTTTGTACATATGCAGAAGGATGGTAATAACACACTAGGATTCGTTCGATTCCAATTTTTCAGTTTTTTGTTAATTAAATCTTTTATGAGTTTTTATTTAAATCTGTATGGAATTATATGTATTTAGTTTGTTATACATGTTAAGCTTTTATTTGAACTTCAATAAACGCATGAAACCAAGAAAATGAATGAAATGAACACAATTTATTCAATTCAATTTTAATTTTTAAATTAAACAAGAACCTAGTCCAAAAGACCATGAGCGATTCCAAAAACTTCTTTACAGGGACTACTCCAAAAGCTTAAAATTAACAGTATATCACTTAATCATATCATAAACAACAATACATGAACTACTCATCATTACACTTACAGTGGATTGATTTCCCAGTCGGTTCCATCGATTTTGAAAAGAAATTTATTTTTTTTTTATTATGATTGATAATTGGCGAACATGGTATTGCAAATTGGAAAAACTGCGCAAAAGACCGACGCATCTGGAAATCTTTTTTAAGCTCGGCTTATGGAACGAAAGTTCTGTCGGAAGCGAGCTAAGTAAGTAATCAGGATATATCAAGCTATATTTATTTAATTTTTATGCTACACCCGAAAAAGTCATAGTTCCCCGGACCAATTTCACCGCTCCCTTGTTATAAGCGATGGCTTAACTCTAGTTTAGTAAAAACGATCAGATATTTCGGAAATTTTTTCCAGATATCTTTTTTCCTGGGGGATGTACCCCGTTACCCGCATATTTGACCCGGAAGTTCGGGTACCGGTACCCGGTTCTACGGATCTGGTTAATATAAAATGGGTATCATGGCGACTGGGGTTATCAGTTACCAATCGGTAATTCGCAGCATGCCTCTTTCGCAACCATTTGTTTTTTGAATTATGGTCGCGTATCATGACAGTTTTTTAGATTTGCGCTATTTTTAATTTTGTAACAAGCGTAATTGTCGTTCATTGGTAAATTAGTAAATTTTTATTATTAAATGTAAATACATGTAAATACATTTATGCTTAAATTTTAAGATATATTTTTTAAGCGACTAACAAGTAAAAATATTGGCCAATATTTCTCGATAATTATGATTTATTACCATTTGAAATACAATTAAAGGTAACAAAACGTACGAAATTGTTCCTACCTACGGCAATGTTTTCCTACCTCACTGTCAATTTACCAATGAGAGAGAAAAAAAACTACCATGCGGGGTTTTACATTTATCGGAATCGGGATTGGTGTTGAGAGTTTCTCTCTCTTGAGAGAGTAATTAGAGTTGCGCTATTTTTAATTTTGTAACAAGCGCACTTTTGTTCACAAAAGATACGAATTGACATAAGCGTACTAAAACAAAAATTAGATGTTTTTATTATTCGTGAATACATTTTCGCTTAAATTATAACATATCGCTGGTTAAACTTGTAAAGGCAACAAGTCCAATTTTCGAGAAATTGAGATTTTGATACAGTTATGTATAAAGAGGTAAAATACATCTCATTTGTTATTGTTGTCGCTGGCTTAACATCATGTAAAGGCTGTAAGTCCACTTTTTATTTATTTATTTATTTATTATAGTATTAACATTGTAGTAAATACAATGCTAATAATAAAAGTATCTAGCATTGGCTACAATGGCCATCAGCTAAATCGGTTGCAAGTCCACTTTTTATTTTGAAGATTTTGGACATGATCTTCAGCCGAATTGTTTTTCTTTCATTTTTTGAATAAATTATTATTCCAAAACAATCCTTACTCTTTTAGATAATATTAAAATGTAAACAATCAAAATTATTGCAGTAATTAGAAAATATAATGATAGACAAGTTGTAAGAAAAAGACCTAAGTCCATTAAAAAATGCAAACTTAGCGACAGAAAAAGATCTAAGTCCAAAAAAAGGCGTGTATCTCCGCAAATACTTATTTTTTTCATTTTGCCTTCACGCAATTAAATTACACATACAATACAAAAACAAATTGCATTTACAAATTTAAAAAATCGTTATTCAAAAGAAAGTTTGATTGTTTTCTGTCTCTCCTGAAAAATTGTGAAATATGGACTTGCCGTCTTTACAAGTTAAGCCAGCGATATATTATTTATGGAAATAACTGGTATAAATATTGGCCAATATTTCTCGATAATTATGATTTATTATCATTTAAAATAGAATTTTAGTTACCTTTTCGTACTTTTTTGTTCCTACCTGTGGTAATGTTTTCCAACACAATTCACAATGTACCACTGAGAGAGAGAGAAACTCCAATCACGATCCCGAGAAATGTAAAACCCCGCCATGAGTCGTAATATAAAGTACACCTTTATCGGGCATTTTTCTTTCACCCTTATTTGTATTAATTCGAGCGAAGTTGGTGGCAGTTCTTGCTTTGATGTTGGTATACTTTCGTTGGTTATTCTCATTGGAAGACGCATCATATTCATTTTATTCTTTTTCTATCGGACTTGTATAAGAAAAACAAAAAATTCAAAAACATTAGGAAATTTGTAAAATCTGACTATATGAAATTGTAAAGAGAGCAATGAAGGTTACTAAAAGTGATTTATCATTAGAGCTTGAGTGCTGGGTTGAGGAATTGTCGCCGGCCCAACTGGCAGCATACGAAAAAGTTGCCAATGAGCACAACGCCATCAAGAATGCGCTGAAGAGTGCTCTGACTGCCAACGAAGGGAAGGAATTGTTTAATGGGCAAGTTTTTCAGGCATATTCATTCAAAGGAAAGGTGTTGCAGGAATTAAAGGAGGCCACTATACCGAAGAAAGCTCCGAAAAGTGAGACTACTCCGAATAGTACAAACGAAAAAACGTTGACGCGTTCTGGCCGAAAAAGAGCGCCGAATTTTGTTTACTTAGAATCTTCCGATGAGGAGGAAGACGATGTGCCGCTGGCAAAGAGAATTGCAACGGCCAATGCCAAGAGCGGAAAGGGAGCCGGATTAGACTCGACTAAGGGAGGCAAAAAAGGTGAGAAGAGAATACATCAGTACTATTTTACTTGTTGCTAAAGAAAATGTGAACCTCGTTTTTCATAGGTGAAAGCAAGAAAGATTTGCTGACACCCGGAAAGAGTGGAGCCAAAGGTACGAAGGATAACAAAACCAAGACGGTAAAGACAGAGGAGTCGTCTCCACCCGTTCCCAACTTCAGGCCATCAGAAGATTCGGCGGTGGGTGGACTGATAGTTGGTTCGGATAATAAGGATGGAAAAGGTGCAAAGGAAAACAAGGATGGAAAATTGCAAGGGAAAACTTTCCCCTCTTTAGTTGTTTTGGCTAAACCGTGGCTCAAAGTCAAGGATATGTCGGCCACTCGAAACAAGTTGGATTCCAAAGTAAAATTGGTGCTTATGTTGACACCCAATAAATTTACCGAGTGGCTGATTCAAGAAGGACTTCTAAAAGCAGAACAGAAATGTGCAAACCATAAAAGCAATGACTTAAAACTTGGTAAGATTGCGGTGGTTTTGAAGTGTGTTTCGACAAGTCACAAGATATGGATGTACGGTATTAATAACTCATATTTGAACAGGTGTGTATTCGGATGCTTCCAAATTCCCTTATACTGGCGGTTATGTCTGGATTAGTGAATGTTGCCCCACGAGATTCGTTTCGGTCTTCCATGGATCGATATTTGAAAGTGCACCGCATCCACCCTCGTGCATACTAAAGCTCATCTACCATTGGGCGTGCCAGACGAATATCCAAAATGTTGTACAATGGGTTAAAGTAGACAATGTGTACATAAAAGGAGTGTACACCTGGCTTCGTGCTATATGCACTTTAGCTGTGCACCAAAAATGCAAGAAATTAGGTGGACCGGATAAGTTCGTCGAAGTCGGTGTCATATCGTTCGGCACAACATCACAAGATGGACAACAGCGGCAGTTGAAGGTGGAAGTGCTGGGTGTCTTAGATTACGCAGAAAAAACCATTAGATTGCGAGCGGTAGAGCCCCTCTCTGATTCCGACCGTAATTACAAGAAACGGTTTCAAGTTATATTGGAGCCGCTTCAACGTTGGGTCCACAAGGACAGTACAATTTGCATTGATTTGACTGTTGACAAAATGACATTGTATTCGATGGGATTCAAGAACGTAGTTCAAGCTGCAGCCGCAGACAATTCGGCGAAGCATACGAACTCTGCCGTCATGGACTATTTAAGGCGTATAGTTCCCCGTATGTTCCAAAACACTTTGTCATTGCTTTCGAGGCAAATGATCCAACAGTTCCTGGATGAATTGGTATGGCGTGAGCAGTTTGGTACATACGCCCTGCAGGCATTCAACAATATCACAACTCACATTGCCGAACAAACACGCATCAATTGCAATGAATCCCTGACCCAACGACTGTACCATGTAAGTCATTGACATAATTTCCAACAATTCGCATCGATGAATAAGGTGTTTGCTTTTGTTCTTTCAGGTGGCCACAAATCCATTTAAAGACTGGAGCGTATTGCCTGCCAATGCCAAGGAAATTCCAGCCAACACAACACCCAAAAGATTAAAGAAACGTTAGTAATATTCTACTTTGTTGTCAATAGTGTATACCAGAGCACAGAATGTTGCCAACTGAGGCTAATATTTTGATAAGATGTTGTCCAAAGTTTTCTTCTTTTTTCCTTTTTTGCGGAGATTAGTTGCTTTAATTGGACAGTTCGTGTCGCATTTATTATTCAATACGTACAAGATTAGGAAATCAGTTTTTAACGTTAAATTCTAATGTTAATACCACATATTGTTCCTTTAAGGTTTATTTATGTTTTTGGACCTCTATCACATTGACTTAATTGAAATTATGACAGTGTTGGAAGTCCAAACTTTTTACGCATGTTACTCGTTCGAAATTTCTACCATTTCATTGTTTTCATTTAAGTTTATGTTTGTAACGCCGTGGCACATGAACGCTGTTTTAATACGCAACGGATTTCTATGCTCTTACATAGTTTTAATATTGAACATTGTTAAACAAAAAGCATAATTTCTGTGTTTTCATTTTATGTTTTTACGAATAAATTTTTTTGCTTTCACTAAAACGAGTTTCTTTCATTCGACCTTGTGATCTTTGTTTCGGAAGTGCAGTGTGCTCCCTCTTTATGCTTTCATTATGCTTTTTGTTCTAACACTGTGATTGAGGATCGACGGTGATAAAATGATTTCGTTTTGCGATTTATTTTTAGCAATAAACGAAGCGGATTATGTGAACAGCGAAAAGGTGCACATTAAGAATATCAAGAAGGAGAAGGAGGATGACATAGGCGCGTCAACTTCCGGGAACAACAACGGCAAGAAGGGAAGCGGAAAAAAGGACGACTACAAAAAGTCAGCATCTGGCAAAATGGCAACACCGACAGTAAAGGGAGGAATCGCTCCCACCGGTTCGAAGAAGGAATCATCAGTGGTCGGTAAGAAACCGTCCATTGATAATGGTAAACCGACCAAAAAGGAGAAAGACGACGATGAGCTCAAGGGCCTAGAAGAGATGTACTACGGCATTCTGAATGGACACGAGAAATATTATGAAGATTTCCCATTAAAACCGATAACGAAACTGGAAGAAGGCACTATGGCGCTTTATGCAACGCATGTTGAGTGTCCCATATGTGACACGGCGACTACATTCGATTCCAACGAAAAGCTACAAACTCATTTAGTTTCCCATCTCAATATTGATGGGAAAAATCACAACTTGCAGTGTCTTTTTTGTTTGGAAAAAATGGACTCCGAGTCTGTACTAGCAAAGCACAATAGCATTATGCATCCGGAGGAAACGAAAAGCTCAAATTCAGCATCATATAGATGCCTGATATGTTTCAATCGTTTCAATTCTCTAAATTTCTTGACATCTCATTTGCAAAATAAACATTCAATGTTGGAACTGCCGTATCATTGTCAAGCTTGCGGCTACAGGACATCGTCGCATCGTGACGCAATCCGTCACTACTACGATGACCACAAACACCATAATTTCCTGCAGTGCCCACACTGCTTGGATGTAAGAAAAAATAAAAAAATACTTTTTTCCAGCATTAATAATTCGTTCTATGTTCTCACCACAGATATATAGATTTGCTTACAAGGGCCAAATTAATCAGAGCAACATTGAAAATTATTACATGCACTTGCGCCAACACATGGGTAGAAAAGACCCCAATCTTAAATGTTCGAAGTGCTTTTTGACTTTCTTGGATAAAGGTAATAGCGGATATTGAAACATAATGTTGTACTCATTGTACTTTTTTTCCTCCCAAAGGTGCTTTGAAGCAACATATCTCCAATCATCATACCAGTCTGTGGAAGAACTCAACTCATGTTCGCAAGTTGGTTAAAAATTCGATGCTTATTCAGCCGCCGAAGGTAAAGGTGTTAGTGTGATAAAGATTGAGAGGTAGTAATGATTGTATGTTGCAGGTCCGTAGCCATCACAAGGAGCCTTTGCCATACACATTGCAGTCCAAATTAGGAGAATTTTTCGCATTTATCGATGGGTCCATATGTGCCGAGTGTAATACGGAAATTATCAGCGAACATCATTTTATGTATGTGCCGACTGCTGTCCGTATTTTATTGATACATTTAACATTAATTTTTTCAGCGGAAATTTGAAGTGCAATAAGTGCAATTACAAGACTTCGTGCGAGCGAGCAATGTTCCAACATACGAGTGACTGCAATGGCGGAAATGGCACAAAAGATATTATGGAAATGCCATTGCCCAATGAAATGCACTGCATTTGTGGATTTTCCACAGCAAACGGGAATAACATGGCTTATCATTTGGCGACGTGCGGCCAAAAATCGGCTTACCCGACATTGCAGTTGGCTCAAGAGAACACTGTTAAGCGTAACATGCTTGATATGCTCGGTCTGGTAAAGAGGGATGGTGAAACGGGTGGTGATATGGATGGAGAGCCATCTGCCGGTGCTTCTTTTGCGGTCAGCAATGTGGATAGTAATGCCATTTCCGAGCAGCAACAACGCCGCGACGATCATCACACAAGAGAAGACAACATGCAACACTCAGATGATGCCATGGACACTCAGTCCACATCGTTGGCACCCGACCAAACGCCCATACCTTTTGGTCAAATCGACGCCACGCCTGTCGATCAACAACAACATTCGTCCCAGCACTATGGACAAATTGTTGATAATCATAGCCACATGCAAGCAGCTGCTCAACAACAATACCATATGGGATTCGCCCAAACCGAAGTGGCACCCCATACACTAAACGCAGCCGATATTGATATGCCATTAATTGGCGAGTTGGCTGATCCTAATCCGCCTCCAACTCCACAATTCCTGGGAGAAGTTCATACACCCATGTTCGATCCGGCTGCTGCAGCTGATCAACATTATCATCAAATGATGCAGCAGCAGCAGCATCACCACTTGCAGCAGCATCATCAGCAACAATGAAAATGACCCAAAAATGTCAGGGATCGCCTGCCCACCATTCCACCCTGGCAATATTACTAAATTAAACTAGTTATGACATTGGTTTTATTTTATTCTTATTGATCAAGTCACTATGGCATATAATCAAGGTAAGGTAAAATGCGATATTTTCAAAAATATTCGCTAACAGATAAAAATAAATACTTCATTGTAGCTTCGACAAAGGTGTAAAGGAAAGCAACAAACAACATAATAAGACATTGGAAATACAAAAAATAAACCACTAATAAAAATGGACGCATGGATGGATCGAGACATGCAAACACAATTATGAATAAATACAATTTATAATTCGCGGCAATACTGATGCCGCTAATATTCTTTGCACACAACGGCAATTTTACCATATATTATGAATACACATAATTTCAAAACAAAAATGTAATAAATATATACATTATTAATATTTCATATAACCCAAATAATACTTAAATATACCCCGTAGATGTAATTAAGGTCGAATCGTAAACCATTATGATGGTGGGGTCCATCACAGCTGGACACCACAGTGCCACAATTTGATCTCATTGCATCAAGCTGTTACGGCATTAATATCTGCTACTGTTGTGATTTCTGTCTAAGTCGAGAGATTAGAATCGCTGATAAAACCAAAGCGGTGTCCAATTCCTTTTGTGAACCTTTTTCGCTGTCCAATACAATTTCGGAAGCTCGTTCGTGAAATCTGGATAGCACTCTTGGTCGATAATCTGAAAAGACCATATAATCGTTATTCTTGTTAATCGTGGAGATATTGAGTGACCACTTACCAACACTGCTAGCCAATGGATTTCCTGTTAATCGCAATGTTTCCAATAGGGGTAACGATGCGATATTGTCCACTTCTTCCAGGTCATCAATAAGATTGCAGCTAATGTCCAAATTTACTAGCGACAAGAGTCTCCTCAGACCTCTTATGCATTTCAGTTTGTTCTGCGACAAGTTCAAAGTAACCAAATTACCCAATTCCAAGTGCCAGTCATTGCAATCGGCTATTAGATTTATTGACAGATTCAATACTTGTAAATGTGGAAGTTCGGCCAAATTCTTAATATTACGCAGGCGGTTTTGTTCTAAGCTCAACACTCGAATTTGCGGCACGGTTCGGATACTTTCATCGATGTGGGTAAGTAGATTACTAGTAAAATCAAGCTCAGTTACATTATACCATGTCCGATTAGTTGTAATGGCTGTCTTGGCTAAGGATGGAGACGAATTGCTCATACAGGTCGACGATCGATTGAGCGATATATCTTCTGTTGAAGGAACATCAATTGAAGTATCCTTGTGGACATCATCGCATAGCAGAACTTGATTAATGGATGTTATAGTTGTATTGTGGACACATATTTTTTGAAGAGAGGGTTTCAGCAAAGCTATGTCAATAATATTCTCTGATGGTATAGCGAATATTTTCAAACATATCAGATTTCGAAATGCATTCAAATTGAACTTCAAATTCTTTGGGATGATATTGCTGCGACCAATGGGAACATCGACAGTGTTGTAGTCGTTGCCGAACGTATCTTCGTTGCCCTTGACTGGTGTTATTTGTATGACTTCCAGTTGGGAGCAAACATCCAAGACATGAGAAAAGTCAAATTTACCTCGATGCTCTATACTTTCCGGTGGGCAAGGCAGATTTAAACGTTCACTAATCGCATATACCTGTATTCGAAGATATTTATATTTACTATATACAAATATTTTTTTCAACCGACTTACCTCAAGAGCGGAGAAATGAAATTCTTTCTTCGTGCGCAACAAGGACTCCCCATTTTCATTGAAATGCTCTGCTAAATCTTGCAATAGATAGATAATGTCATATCTGTTAAATTCCAGAAATTCAGCCAGTACTCTTGGCAGTTGTATTCGGAAGAAGATCAGCAGCTCCTTGAGGTATTTCTCAAGCTGTGCACGTCTCTGTTCCAAGAACGCTGGGTTTTTGTTTCCAACTATCTAAGTGATTAGCGAAAACAAAATATTTATTGGCGTTTGGATGAACAACAAAAGTATTCCATACCTTTTTCGGAGGAAGAAGTTTTTTGGATATACTTATCTCCTCAACCAGCTTTTCGTTGAGATTGTCGAAATCTTTATATCGACGAGTCACAAGCCACTCGATCTGACCAACTTTTATCTTGATGTCGTAATAGACCACCGATTGCGACTCAATTGTTCTGAATTTAGGTACAGTGATTTCGCAATTAGAATTCTGCCGAAAATAACAAGACATGTCGAACAACAGGCTTTGGATACCAATTAAACTAAATAACTATTCGTATTTTAACACGTAAATATTGCACATAAGACGTATGGATTCCAAGCAAAAAGAAAATAAACGTGGAAAATATATTTAATATTTGTGGTTGACCGGAGGGAGTTTTCAGTCCGGTAGTCAACTTGCATAAAGTCACCGACTATTGGACATTTTAGAGATTTAGAATTAGTAGTTTTAATATTAAAAAATTAATCTTCTTTTGACTTGTTTCGTTTCACACCAGTGTTGGTCAGCCCTTTACGTTTTCTGAAAACAAACCACACGTATTCCCCTTGCGATTTAGATATGCCGTTGTTTAGCATAGAAGGGAGAGTACGAGTCTAAACACAACTAGAGAGTCAGCGGCTAAGAGTCTAAACGCAACCAGAGAGTCACGAGTCAGCGTCATACTTTTTCGCCGGCGTGAAAACCAAACGAAAGAGTTGGCGTTAGCGGCACAAAATGTCAATTATTTGTTTTCATTTTCTGACAGAAAATTGTACGTTGTGCAAACCAAAATCAATTTATTATTTAATAAACAATAATGTCAAGGAACTTGGACAAAATTATTGAAAAAATTATTTTTCTTCCATTTTATTATTAATTCGTTAAAAAAACGTCCACAATCTTTGAAAATATTTGTTTTTTTAACAGCACTGCCATATGTTTCGATAAAAATTCTCATTGAAATTTGGTAGCACTGTTGATTTTTACCTTAAATATGGCAACTCAATTGAGAGCAAGAGAGAAACTTTGAATATGACGCTGAGCAAAAATGAATAAAATCTATTCTAGCGTCATGCCGCTAGACGCGAACGTCAGCCGTCGCGATTTCCCGTTGCCAATAAGAAACACACGGCAAACGACTGTCGCTGACTCTAGACTCTATGGTTGCGTTTAGACTCTTACTTTTTCGCCGGCGTGAAAACCAAACGAAAGTGTAAAGGGCTAAACAGAATGTTCGCGTTGAGCGTTTTTTGTTATCGCGTTAACGCACGCAAAATGTTAAAATATATTTAACTCCGAAGCGCAGCGCACATCAACTTCGAGCGTTTGTGTTATCGTTTCCATGAGGTTGTTGTATTTTCGATAACACATAACGCAACGGATTTCTCAACGCGAGCATTCTGCTTAGCCCTTAAGCGTGGTTTTATATTTACCGGGATCGGTTTTGAGAGTTTCTCTCTCTTGAGAGAGTAATTAGAGTTGCGCTATTTTTAATTTTGTAACAAGCGTACTTTTTATTCACAAAAGGTACGAATTGACATAAACGTACCAAAAAAATTAGATTTTTTTATTCTTCGTGAATACATTTACGCTTAAATCATAACATATATTATGTATGCAAATAACTGGTATAAATATTGGCCAATATTTCTCGATAATTATGATTTATTATCATTTGAAGTAGAATTTTAGGTACCTTTTCGTACTTTTTTGTTCCTACCTGTGGTAATGTTTTCCAACACAATTCACAATTTTCCACTGAGAGAGAGAGAAACTCAACACCGATCCCGATCCCGACAAATATAAAACCACGCTTAGAGTTTAAACGCAACCATAGAGTCTAGAGTCAGCGACAGTCGTTTGCCGTGTGTTTCTTATAGGCAACGGGAAATCGCGACGGCTGGCGTTCGCGTCTAGCGGCATGACGCTAGAAGAGATTTTATTCATTTTTGCTCAGCGTCATACTCAAAATTTCTCTCTTGCTCTCAATTGAGTTGTCATATTTTAGGTAAAAATCAACAGTGCTACCAAATTTCAATGAGAATTTATATCAAAACATATGGCAGTGCTGTTAAAAAAACATATATTTTAGACTCTAAACGCAACCAGAGCGTCTAGAGTCAGCGACGGTCGTTTACCGTCTATTTATTATGGTGTTTTTTCCATATGGAAATCGAACTCGTCATGTGAAACATACGGAAATTTCAATGTGTCAAAACGATATGCATTTCGTATGTGAAACATAAGGAAATCAGCTGTTTGAATGAAACACATTGTTGGAAGAAAATATTTCAATTGCAAGTCAAAGAAAAGGATGAAAAGGCAACAATTACAAATTATTATTTCGTTTTATTTTTTTATTATTATTTCGTAAAAAGAAGGTGTTTCATATGTAAAATACATATGCCGATTTGAAAACAAAAATAAATTTTGTGTGTACGCCGCTAATTTTGACACACATATGGATGAAATAAGTGACAGCACATATGTAAAATACATATAGTGTAAAAACACCATTATTGGCAACGGGAAATCGCGACGGCTGACGTTCGCGTCTAGCGGCTTGACTCTAGAATAGATTTTCTCTCTTGCTCTCCATTGAGTTGCCAAATTAAATAAATGTTTTGTGTATGCCGCTAATTTTGACACACATATGGATGGAATAAGTGACAGCACATATGTAAAATACATATCGTGTAAAACCACCATTATTGGCAACGGGAAATTGTGACGGCTGACGTTCGCGTCTTGACTCTAGAAAAGATTTTCTCTCTTGCTCTCCATTGAGTTGCCATATTTTTGGAAAAAATCAGCAGTGCTACCAACATTTCAGTGGAAATTTATATCAAAACATATGGCAGTGCTGTTAAAAAAAGAAATATTTTCAAAGATGTGGACGTTTTTTTTAACGAATTTCCATTTACAGAAGGTTTTTGAGCGACGTCAATAATCCTAGTTCATATGAGAGCCAGACATGTACTCTTTCTAACACCCTTGGAATTTCCGGGTTCCGATGTTCCAGTGATGAGTTATCATGCCCGCCATCATCATAAATAAGGACTTTTCATTAATCACCAAAAACAACAACCAAATTTTGCAAATTATTTTTCTTCTCTTTTAAATCTTTAATAATATATGTGTAAAGTTACAAACATGCACATGCACATGTATTGGTATTCATTTACCAGCCCAATGAAAATCTTGAAAATTTAAAATCGAAAAAAACTGGCAACGCTGGCAGCGTAGACTTCATCATACGTGATGACTTGTTTAACGTATTCTTTTAGGCGAACAAATCCGACATTCTATCCACTGTAAAATGACTACCCGTCACTGTAAAATGATTACTATACATCAGTCGAGATTTCATTTTCATCGGGTTTTGACGTACTGCGTCGGGTTGGTCGGTTATTGTTTTTTCTTTTGTTTGATAATCGAAGGCGTATTAACATTTTGGATTTTTATGTTTTTAAAGTAATACTTCAGATAATACGAATATTGTAAAAATATATGTAACGCGTTGTCAACGGTCGTCGAAATCGACCGAAAAGTTAAAGAATGCTGGACGTGCGACCATATTTAAAGATATTAGATATTTGAAAGAAAGCGATTCATATAAATGTTGTTCGTGTATGTGTGTGAAGTGAAAAAGATCATCGTGTAAAAAATGATCTCAGCGAATATTTAATACAACAAAAAGTCAATATGGCCGCCACTTGTTGGATGTTGGTGGTGCTTTAACATTAATAAGCTTGTAACAATAATAATAAATTGATAGATCGAAAAGGAAGTAAATAGTGCTACAGTGAAAAAACAACAAATAATTGAGCAATTGCAAGAATAATGTGAAACAAGTTGTGTACATCTTAGGGCATTGTCGTTTTCTGAGGTAACAGTTAAAAGACGAGCAATTCGTGTATAGTGTACATGCAATAATCTTGGAAGCTTATTCATAAATCCAAAAAAGTTGTCAAAAAAATATATATATCTATAATATGTACGATTGGAAATGTAGAATTCTTGAAAGAGAGGCAAGTTAGTAGGTGCGGCAGCAATACTTTAGTAATTTTAGAGCTTTGTTTGTATTTTTTTGTAGCATATGTGTTTTTTGTTTATTACACCCGCAAGAGGCGTACTCGTTAGATATTTTTTTTCTGTGCAATCAGCTTGGAATCAAGTAAATTAAATTGACTGATCGCATTTTGTTTAATTGATTTTACCAAAACTTTCTTATTTCTCTCATTTTGTTATTGGGCTCTCTCTCTCCATATATATCTGTTCTTCTTATTGGTGTTACCATATGGTTTTGTTTTTTGCGGTTACTATGACACTCATTGTTTTGGTAGTCGGTAAATAAAAGGTAAACATATCAAAAATTTGCAAATTATTAATTAAAAAGTAGAAATTTTTTTTATGGGATTTCCAATATTCAGACTTTTGTCATTCTTCCCAAGATATGCGCATGAATATATCATTTGTACAATTACGTTTGTATCATTTCTTAGATAATATTGATTGAGAACATATAAGCTTGTAAATAATGTAAATCAGTTATTGAAACGCTTAAGTTTGGGGTGTTCTGCCTGTCAAAAGCAGTTGCAAAACAAAATAATCCACCAAAATGTATAGCCTTTATATGACTTAAATTTTTGGGAAAAATTTTTTAGGACTATGTCTTTATCAGAGAATTTAATTAAATTGGAGGAAGCCCACTTTTTCCAAAATATGTAGGGTAAGTGTACCAATCGTCGGCACTTTAGGGATTTTCGCATTTTAAACGTTTCACCATCCCGAGAGCATTTGGTTCACTATATTGTATTTAAGTTTATAGGTTTCAAAATTTTCTTTACTCCCCGATGTAATAAAAATTTGTATTAAAGTTCAGTAAACTGATAATTAGGTAATATACAGGACAGTCCTGATGTTTTAGAAGCAAAAATAAATTCTTCTTTAGGAAGAACATTTGATTGGGCAAATAGAAATTCCTTTTTGGTTAACCCGTCAAAATCTAAAGCCATTTTGTTTGGAGGTTCTCAGTTTAATCTTAACATTGTTTTGGGCCAACATACGATTGAATTTGTGAGCAGTCATGTGTGCTTGGGTGTTCATGTTGACAAAAATTTGGATTTTGGTTTGCATATTAACCACATATACTCCAAAGTTTATGGTACTCTACCTAAAATTTATTCTTGTAGTGTGTACTTTCCACGTTGGGTTAAAATAAGGTTAGCACATGCTCTATTGATGCCAAATATACGGTATGGCTTAGAAATTATTTCAGGAACTCGATCTTGTAATATGCAGAGACTGAAGAGATTAGTAAACACCATAGTTCGTTTTGTTTTCAACTTGGGTAGACGGCATCACATTTCTGAACATACTCAGCAATTTTTGGGAGTTCCATTTATGTCTTATGTTGACAGATGTAACTTGCAGTTTTTTTACAATATGGTCAAAAGGGGAATTCCTTATTCATTTCGACAGTCTTTTACCTTTTCTCGGTCAACGAGAAACCCAAATTTGGTTATTCCGAGGATATCTTGTTCTATATTTGAGAGATCATTTTTGGTTCGTGTTGCCAGGAGTTGGAATCAGCTTCCATTGGAATTACGTATTTTTTCACACTCTAACAATGTGTTTCGAAGAAAAATAAATGATTACTTCTTAAACACTTGATGTATACTTATACCCTCATATCTATATATGTTATTGCTAATTTGGACTTTTTTATTTTGTTTTAATATTTATATATTTTTGGTTGGGGAACCAAAACAGTATTGCGTAATTATAATGAAATTTTTATGATATTTGAAAATGTTTAATTATATAAATGGAAATTTATTTTAGGCGTACATTTTTAGAATGTAACATATTTAGTTTTGGCCTTATTAGGCTTTATTGTTACATAATGAAATAATAAATAATATAGTGCTTTTGTGCCAATAGTCGGTACTTTTTCCAATTGTTAGCATGTCGTATTTTAATTAAACAAAAATGATGTATTTAATTAATTTTTCTGCTATTTTCATTGATAAATTATTATTATCGGACGTTTCCATCAGTGTTGTATTAAAAAATTTTTATAAAATAATTTTATTTATTAAAATATTGCAATTATAAAACATGGTTCCGACTTCGGGAACCTTTTATTAATCGATATTTAAAAGACTTAGTAAACATTTTTTTCCCAATTTAGAGCCAAAATGATCGAAAATGTGCTTATCCCATATGCCGACTAGAGGCATCGATAAAAATATTATAATTACAAATACTTTTCAATGATTTTAAATAAATTAATGATTTTAATTAAATTAATTAAATTTTAAATAAATTAGATCTGTTAGAAACATACAAATACTTGTTCCGCGTTTGTGTCCTTTATTGGAAAAAGCCTTTTTTGTACGAATTGCTAGAATTTTTAACACCTTACCGCCTTCTCTTAAAACTTTTAACTCTTCCTTAAAATGTTATCGAACTCATTTATACGATTACTTCAACCTCAATTCATCTTAAATTCATGGGTTTTGCTTATTTGTTTGTGTTTTTATTGCATAAATGTTGAAATATTTAAATAAATATAACTATAATAAATTATATTTTTTTTATTGATAATTGTGATATAATAATAAGATATTTGAACCTGTAAATTGAATTTAGTGGTTGAGAGTAGATATAATATTGAAGTCCTTTGCCCTATGTGATAGGTCGCTACATCAAATAATGGAATAATAATAATGTTTTTGAAGTACAATGGTTCTGAACCCCTCCAACTGAATAGACGTTAAGTTATCATTAAGCTAATACACTGTTAGTTTTAAGCTTTTGGAGTAGTTTATTTTTTGTTGTTTTTTGAATCGCTTTTGGCCCTTTGGGCTAGATTCTCGTTTATGAAATAAATAAATTGAAATTGAAATTGAAATTATTCTACTCTATGTTCTTTATAATTACGAAGAATATCCTTGTGCAAAATATATAATTTTAATATAGTTACAAATAAATTTTATATAGAGATAGGTTGCAATATTATTTAAGATTATTGATGGTATTTTTTATATTAAGTTATTGGATTTCTTAATTATTAGAAGTTATATAAAACAGATGTCGACTATTGGTACATGCCGGAATTAGGTGCGTTTACCTTATTGAATTGAAACTTCGAAGCCTCTGTCTCGGGAAGTATATATAAGGTCTGTAATCACTGTGAATTTGTGAAAAAAACGTTATGTTAGTATCATATCTTAGATTTCGTTTCCGATTTTGCAGAGAATTGCCCAAATACAATTAGTTTATCCAACTAAATTAAACATTTTAATTTACAATAAATGTTTAACTTTACTATCAATAAAGAAAATAACAATTTATAATATAGGTATATGTATTTTTCCTCGTTTTCACTTCCGCAGAAAAATCAAAAGATAATATTGTCCAATATTAAGATACCAGACTTATGGAAGACCCATCAATCACTAAGAGGTATGTACAAATCTAATAAATATATTTGTAATATAATTAATTAATCACTGTACGGATATAACTATTTACTGACAACATTCAAAATGAATATTATTCACCAGATTGATAGGGTTTCATTTTCAAAATCAAAACTATTTTGATTTTCTTCATGCATTGTGTGTGTCACACATACATAAATAAACTTTCAAAAAATAACACATACTATTATAAATGCTGTACGGCATGATGTATAGTGTATGGGGCCCTTAAAGGTTTGTAACTTTGCACATATATATTTGAAGATTTAAAAGAGAAGAAAAATAATTTACAAAAAAGTTTTGTTATGTTTTGTTGTTGTTTTTTGTAACTAAAGAAAAGTCCTTATTTTTGATGCCGGGCATGATAACTCCTCACTGGAACATCGGAATCCGAAAATTCCAACGGTGTTTGAAAGAGTATGGGGGGTCCCCTTAAATTAGGAGAGTTAAGTCTGTTACTTTCTTTGATTAAACAGTTAAAGGCAATTGTGTCCTTTTTTGTGAAGGCAATATAATATGTTGTAACACGGTGACAACAACTTCAAATTCCCAGCATTCCCCCTTTTTCTAACTGGAAATGAAGTTCGCGTTGTGCGTCAATTCAATTCTATGCAAAATGAATTGGAAGATAATTTTAATCTACGATGATCATGAATTTCAAGCATTTCGGGGAGAATCTATGAATTATAAATCCCTACTAATGCTTAATATCGCTAGAAAGAGTTTTTTTTTTTAAGTAGAAAGTTTATATCTATCCAATTTAGTGAAGAACAATAACATCAACATTTTTTCTATTCCAATCTGTCGGCAGTTGAATGTCATTGCAATCTGCACTTCTATGGGGGCAAAACACAAAAGAGCCAATTGTGTTTTGTACATTTTCCCTGTCATATATTCTCTACTTGTCCGTATAAATTTTGGGGGTGCTTTTGACTTGTCTTCGATTCACTTTTCTTCGTTGCGTTTAATTGAAATTAGGTTGGTTGTTTTTGCTGGTTATGAGGTTGTATGTGACGGCGGTGGTGCATTTGTATTTGTTCCCTCACTTGAATGATGGTCGGTCATCGATGACATCATATCAACTTAGTACAACATACATTTTTTGTCTGGTAGTCTAATATTTGTTTGCTATTTGTATAGGGAAAACCTAGCTATGCACTTTGATTGGCATACAACCATTTAAAATCTCGTAGGCATTAATCTATCAATTACCTTTTATAATATCTAAGAACAATAAAGCTAAAATTGGAAGAGGACAATTAAAATAAAAATCAAGGATATTCATATTACAGATTCATACTGGTAATCTCAGATAAATATCGCAACGATTCGAAAATTCTCTTAAGGACATGATATCAGATCTGTATGTAATTAAACAATATAAATACAAATGTTCTTTAAAATTTAAATGCTATAGCGTTTAGGTCATTAGCATGAAAATGAATGCTAGTGATGAATGTACAATGATTGCATATTGACTTCTCTTCTGATTTCGTTAACGTTATCAAATGACAAATAACAGTATTCATTACTCCTAGACATCGATTAAATAATGCTATTTACTATTCATTCTTTATATATATATATATTTTCTGCAGGTTGATTGATTTTGGTGCTGACGAACATGATTATGACGAAGTTCAAGATTTACCTGAAGAATCAACAGCCAATAATCAATCGATACTTTCCTCTAATAGTGACAACCCAGTTCCACTGTCTGAGTGTCCAGTTGCAACGAGAGACACAAAAACGTCTAACAATAATAACGTGGTGCCTGAGTTACCTTTGCCAAAACAAGTTAAAAGTGCTCTAAATAACAACAAATCTAGCAAAACGAAATCTTCAAAAGCTTCCAAGTCAAAAATTCCAAGATCGCCATCATTAGCAAGTGCCTTAGGCTACAGCAATTTTCAGCCTCCGCCAATTTCAGGTATACCTCCTCAGACCCCGCCCCTTCCAGTGGCTTATCAAAATAAAGGAAAGGCTTCTTATTCGCCGACCACAGTGGACAATAATAATGCTCACTTTTTTGGTAGTAGCCACACCAACTTAATGGCGGGTGGAAATAGCGTTAACAGTGGCGGTTCTCTCGGTCTCTCTACCACGAACGGCGGCGGACAACGCAATAGCCTCAATATGGCGGCCAATACACGTCGCTCTCAAATATCATCACCTGCGTCTGGGGAATCGCCCAAAAATTTCCAATTTCTAACCTTAACCGTAAGAAAGGACGAGAATGGGTACGGAATGAAGGTAAGTGTTCCATCTACATAGATATTTATGATACTAATAATACTGCTGGTGGATTTGCTTTCTAAGCATGTCTGCATTAAACTCGGAAACTAATAGATGAATTGATATTATTGTTATTATAATAACATTCAGGTTTCTGGTGACAATCCAGTGTTTGTTGAAAGCGTGAAACCTGGTGGCGCTGCTCAAATTGCTGGTCTGGTGGCAGGCGACATGATCTTGAAGGTAAATAATTAGCTGTGGCTGACAAATTAGTATAGAAAATAATATAAAATCTCCATCTTTCTACTAAAAGGTAAATGGTACAGAAGTCCGTTCGGAGAAACATCCAACCGTTGTTAGCTTGATCAAAGGTAAATTCAATATATTTATAAGCGCATGTAACGTTTGTGATCATACAAACATCTGCATATATGTTTCTTTATTACGCGTACACTTTTAAGTGAATAGGATTCAGCGGTTGATTCAACACACTTATCTAAGAAAGACATTGGAAGCGGGTCAATTTCAAAATGCATACAATATTTTATCTTCGGTCGGGTGTCGTATCTACATATTGTATATTTTGCGTTTACGTACATATTCCATATGTATGAAGTGGACGCGTTCTACTCTTCGTTATTAATTTTCTACTATTATCCCTTTCGCCTCCCTCAATGGAAATGAAGCACTTAAGCAACACAAATGACGGCGGGTATATAAAATGCGAATTCCAACTCTAAGCCACATTTTAAAGGGAATACAATTGCGAGTTGTGCAACGAAAGAAACTATTGACAGTCCAACAAAAATAAACTCGCTCGTCGGATGTGCTCTGACAGTTATGATAAGTTCTACAATTCTACAGATATGCTATTGAAATTATCACACTTGTAGTGTGTTCGATTTTAGTTGAAAATCGAAAATTCCATTTTTAAAAAATACTTTTCCAATTGAAATTAGGTATTAATTTGCAAATGTAATCATTTGAATTACAAATGAAGTAATTTCAATTACAAAAGAAATGTCTTCGATTACAAATTGAATTAATTAATCAATTTGAAATCGAGTGGAAACATAATACGCGAAGTCCATTTGCAAATTACAACTGAATTTGACGAATAACAATTGGAATCAACAAATTACAATTTAAATATTTTGAATAACATTTCAAAAGAGTAGCCTCCACATGGAGAAATCGAATTGACCACCTAATCTAGACATTAGGTGTATCTTCGGGATATTGTCGATAACTGAAACTTCTCATTTGTATATTGTTAGTTGTCGGCAAGGTCGGAATAAAAATAACAGTTGTCCTATACTAATAGGAACAATATTACTGATTTTACGACACCCTACTTTACGATCACACGGTTATCATTATAACATCAAAATTGCAAAAATGATATCATACATGTTTACAAATATGTTTTATGCATAAATGATATCCCTAATACAAATACATGCCAATAAAGATGCTTCATTAACATGTATACGGGGACAACACATTATTGCCCATAGATTTTTTTTCCAGCAGTTAATTGTTTTACGAGGGGACGACACTTTGACAATTACTCTGTAAAACAGGTTGAACAATAAACGGCACACATACGTCTTCATGTAAAAGTCAATTAAAGTGAAATATGTCGTCACATCCACCTGAAAGTATAAACGAATGAATTTAATATTTGGAAAATAAGTAGTAGTTCCATGGGAACTGTTACTACATATATGCCTATCTATACATACATTCGAATTTCTATTCTACCTACAAAATTAATACCTAAAAACTATACATTCTTGTTTGAATATTCAAAATTGTTTGAATATATGTATGTTTATATATATATATATATATTTGCCTGAAATTAAAATCAATATAAATGTCTGTGTTTTTGTTCGAATTACAGCTTCTACGATTGTTGAATTAGCCGTTAAACGGAGCCAACAAATGGCCCGTCCTACATCAGCAAGTGTTGTGCCATCCACACCAGTCCTGGGAAGGGATCGAACGGCTTCTATAACTGGACCTCAACCTGTTGATGTAATCATCTTTTATTTATTTTTTAGTGATAAATCTGCTTCCCACCGAAATTAATATGTTTTTCTGTTGACAGAGTATCAAACGGCGTGAAATGGAAACTTACAAAATAAAAACTCTACAAAAGATGCTAGAACAAGAACTATTAAATTTGGAGCGTTTAAAGGGAGATACCAATAATGCAGGTTATAAGACATCTGAAGCAAATATAAAGACATTGCGGGAACAATTGCGATGTGCTGGAGCAGAGGTGAGTAAAAAAAATAAGATTATGGCCAAAGTCCTGCGATTCCATTCCTTACCTTCCGTACAGTTATGTACGTGTGTATAATGTGCTAAGACACCTTCCTTCCAATTTGAATTCCCATCGCCCACAATTAGTAGTAGTTCTGACTATTATTTTTGAGATTAATGCATCCGGCATTAACAATATCCACAGCAATTGTAATTTACAATCTGACATTTAAAATTATCCAAATTCACCACGTTTGATGGGAATTGTCCCTATAGTTGTGTAGGAGCCACCCTTTAAACATGTATCCTCTGGATCCCTTTTTTTCTTACCCTTGAAACTGTCCGCTTGATTGAAATTAACCACCAATTGGTATATTCACAGGCCAGATTGGTTACATAATGCTTGCTACACTAAAATATCCTAATTAACGCAATCAATTGTCCGCAAATATGTTCAATGCCGCGACGCTACCGATCAAAAACAAAAATAACCTTTCATGGCGTTATACTTTTTCCAATTATTTACACATAACACCAACACATGTATATAACATCCCTAACCGAGCATTATTAATTGAAAGAAGTGTCGTCTTTTCGTAATTTTCCAAGCAGTTCATTCACTATTCATACCTACATCAATCAACCAATTATATATACACAAACGATACACGTCCGAACATATCATGCATATCTTTTCTCAATTAACAGGATAAACCAACGGTTAAGTTACAGGCTATGGCGAATAATAATGGTAAAACTGTAGGTTTAATGTCGCCAAATCAGTTGCATCCTTTGTCTTCGTCTTCCTCCAATCAGTCGACATCACCACAATTTTCTACACATCTTAACCCACACCATTCCCAAAATCACAACAATCAAGCCACAACACCACAAGCCTCACAATCATCACCAGCATTTCTGTCTTTGTTACCGCGTTCGCTGTCGTCTTTATCGTTGGGTGGACGTAGAAATAAAGTTGATAAAGATTTAATAGCCGCTCCTCTTAATAATACTACGGATTTTTTACATACCACATCTTTCGCGGACAACATTTCCTCCACGGCTCCGGGTAATATGGCTACTTCCTCTGGACCGCACTTAAATATGTCGCAGTCCCTGCACAGTCCGCAACAGATGCAGCAGCAAAGAAATTCTGCTCAGCAACTGTTTCATTTACACCAGCAGCATTTGCACCACCAACCCGTTAAGGGATCGTCGAAAGCGTCCAAAGGTAAAAACAAGTACTCGTCGCAGACGAAGAATGTGATCGAAGAGGATGATGTTCCACCGCCCCTACCTCAGAGGAATCCGCCGCGTCAAATGCATTTGGATGCTTCGAATAATAACCACAGTTTTTCGCCTATATCCGATCTGGATCATGGAGCAGGAGGTGGTACGAATTCGCCTGTAAGACATTCACCCCAGCCGACTTTGCAGTCAGCCAGTAACTCTCCACAGAATGCAAACAACAAATCAAAGCGTTCCAAGGCCAAAACCAAAGCTCTATCTGACCCAAAAATGTCAACACAGATGTTCCTTCAAATGGAAAGTGCCGGTTCCCACCACAATTCTTGCAGCGACGACACTCAGTTGGACGAATTGCCTCCGCCGCTTCCACCCCGACAGCCAGGTTTGCTTGAAGAGCCACAACAATCTCTTCGGCCTTCACCGAATAGTGTCGATACTCTAATGCAATATCCACTTGTTTCGACATGTACACCAGTACATCGGGATAATATGTCCGCTGCATTTCCTTTTTCGCAAAGACCCAACATCGTTCAACAATTACAACAACATCAGCAACACCAGCAAATGCATATCACTGCAACTGGCGGTTCTAATGCAGCTGTAAGTATACAATCAAGCAACATTATCTTTAAAATGAAATCTGGTATCTGGGTACTCAACATGCATACAAATTCTTCTTCGCTGTATTGTATACATGTCTAACAAGACGGTAAATATCTCCGCTGTTATCTCTCTCAAAAAGAAAATCTATATCGTATGAGAAATGTATTACTAAAAGCGGAAGTGGTTTCTCATATACTTCATTACTATGTACACATAATTATAAGCACATTTTGAATATTGTAGATAATTAACACCATCTTCCATATTATCATTTAATGTGAATTTTTGGACGAGTTTAAATGTTCATTGGAATACAAAATAAATACAGTCGAAGTCGCTTATAAGGACGGGCAAGGGACCGGAAAAATTTCTCGTTATATGCGATATGTCGTTATAAACGATATAAAATCAAAGGCAGAACTTGTCTCGCGTCGCTTAGATAAGTCGTTGTAAACGATTTCGACTGTAGTAGTATTTAATGCTTTTATACAAATGTAGCTTGAGCCGAGAGTTAACTGTATTTGTTTCCATAACTGCTACCATTGTGTTTCATCTTGCATTACACCCTATTACGCTTATTACTACGTCTTTAAGCTTGCACTATCGAACGAAAGATATACTCTACTAACTTCTAGATTCGTTAGCTTTAAAATACCATAAAATATCTGTACAAATTGATCATCAAAACGTGTTATTATCGGCATTGCTACCAAGTTATTATACTGCTGTAGTTATAACCGAGTATTTCATAAAGTCAGTATAAAGTGCACCCGTTTGCAAGTAGCTTTAGTATCCTACACAAGTTGAATGTGCCCAGTTTGGTACAGTGAGAGGGTAACATTCTAGTTTTCTTTCTGTGTGTTTTAAGAATGGTGAACTTGCATGCGAGCGAACTAGTACTCGAGCATGAGGGAATCCATGGTGGTCTAATGGGACGTCAACAAATGTCGTGATTTATTATTTGTTTCTGGTTTTCTAGGTATTGGGACAAACGCCGCAGAATGTCAACAATATGAGCAAACACAGACGCGTGGTGTCATCACCGGAAAATATTCATCCAAGACATCCGGGTAAGCAGCGTTGTAATCTTCAATATAATGTACATTTTGAAAAATGATAATCGATGTGTGTGAAATTGTTTTAGATCGTCATATAAAGACCAATTCCGGTTCGTGGGAGTTAATTGAAAAGGACGACGAAGTAACACCGCCAGGTACACCGCCCCCGCCTTATCGACATGCGCATTCCGCCAGCCTTTCTGGCAATGAGGACAACCTTCATGAACATGGCGGTTCACCGACGAGCGGAATTTGTATTGAATCTCATCAGTTCACTCCTCTGGGTGTAGCCATTTCACCACCACCTTTACCACATTCCAGTCGTATACAAGCGGCCCAGACAAATTGTACCCAAAAGGAAATCATTTCGATGGAAGATGAAGATGCCTCCGATCAAGAAAGTCCATTTATAGACGAGAATGGGCCCTTCAATTCATTGCAACGTCTATTGGAAAGCGAGAACGTTGCATTTTTGGCAGTATTTTTAAATTTCGTTCTCTCAAATTCAGAACCAGCACCATTGTTATTTTATCTGATAACGGGTCTCTACAAGGAAGGTACCGCTAAGGACATGCGCAAATGGGTGTATGAAATTCACTCGACCTTCCTGGTGCCTCGTGCACCGTTGTCTTGGTATCGTCAAGACGAGATGCTAGCCCGGGAAGTGGACGCTGTGCTCCAAAACGAGTTCGACAAGGTGGAAATTTTGAGAAAAGTTTTTTGGAAAAGCCGTAAGAAAGCAAGGGATGTCATCTGTGAGCAACTAAGAGAGTTTCAACAAAAGCGGACAGCTGGCTTGGGAACCATTTACGGGCCTACAGACGCCCAACTGGCGGAGGCTAAAGGTGACAAACAACGAGAACTGCAAATTTTCGAAGATACCCTAATGAAAAAATTGCAAATTTTAATGTAAGTCGCATTTTCCATATTTGCCTCTGGCAACTGAAATTATTTGACGTGTACCTATTCCATTAGTGATGAATACGAAAAAGATCTCCCTGCCGAGGATCCAACAAAGCTGGCTCTCTGTTCTGCTTTATCCACAGTTATACATCGGATATTTATAACTAGGTCCCATCCAAACAGCATTATAGATCGGGTTCATCATTTCGTTAGCCGTGAGAAAAGTTTCAAGTCACGTTTAATGGGCAAAAAAGGAAAGGTAAATATCGCTGTACCTCGGCAATATTTCATAAGACACATCACGCACATAGAATCCATTTAACTCCATTTATTTCTCATTTCAGATGATTGTTCGTGGTCATCCACTAGTATTGAGACAATACTATGAGGTGACCCACTGTAATCATTGTCAGACGATAATATGGGGTGTTAGTCCACAAGGCTTCCATTGTACAGGTAACGAAAGGAATAACACAACAAAATATACATAGGAACAAAACTCATGGTTATGCCATTTTAATTAATCGTATGCATTTCTTCTTTTTTCTGACAGACTGTAAATTAAATATTCACCGTCCTTGTTCGAAAATATTAGAGGAAAATTGCCCAGGCCCATTACCTCAGGCGAAGCGTAAAGATAAGGATATGAACAATGACAGCAAAATAAGTAAATTGATTATGGGAAAAATTCGTCCAAAAACGTCAGTAGACGCAAGTGGAGGTACTACTTGGACAAATCGAATGAAATATATAAGACCTAATACATATTTTTTTCTTTTCAGACAAACGTCAACGACAAGACCCGGATGATTTTGATCCTCCATTGGATTTTGCAAGTGGTAAGTTGAGACGGTATATATACATACATATGTACGCATAAAATATCTAAATTTAAATATAAACTTAAATTTCCACTTAAACATGACATATGTATTAGGTCATCCAGTAAAGGCAGCATTCAACTTATTTCAAGCCAAGATCTACTATTTTGTTAACCTTTAGCAAGATTTTTTCTTCTTGGAAATTTCCATCATAACAATGAATGCCCAATAAAGTATTTACAAAATATGTTAACTGTTGTTTATAGTTGACCTGGTAAATGCTAATGCTTATTGATCATGGTTCGCCTGAAGGTCAATGAGAAAACATTTGTTTATGTTTATGTTTTATTTTTGTTTATTTTTCCAATATTTCGATTGCCATCGAAATCAATTGGTAACAAATTTATACACGAATCTTACACAAAAGTTATTGTAGAGGAAAAGCGTCTACATTAATTCAACGTCGAAGTTAAACTAAGCTTCTTACGTCGGTGCTTATGTACTAAATTCCCATAGATATGCGCACAGTGGTCTGTGTCCGTTTTATAGCTAACTCTCTTTTTTCCCGTGGGTACATTTATGATGTGTAAAATTTCTTCTGTATTTATTTTTGCTACAACGTCAAAATCATTGAAAAAAACATTCGTACCAAAATATACGTGTACATTACTATCATTACGTTTTCCTGAGAGATATTTTGAGTTTGTATCCTGTTCTGGTTGCACATTACTATCATTACGTTTTATTGAAAGATATTTTGAGTTTTATCCTGTTCTGGTTGGTATTTCGCGATTAAAAAGTTGACAGCAAGAGGCATGAATTCGCCTGCCTGTTAACCTTATGAATAAACCTTGGTTTGAATCAACATTTATTCATAAGGTTAACAATGAGGCGAATTCGAATTCTTCATTGACTGGCAAATATATTGTTTGAAGAATAATGGGGCCTTGACATGGCTCAACCGACAATGTCGGTGGTTTTCGCCGAAGTTATCCGGCTAATAGAGGAAAAACTGTGTAAAATTTTGATTGTATACAAATTAACGGAGGAGGAAAAAGGGAAGAACAACATTTTTTTTGAAAACTAAGTTCGGATGTATTGATTATACACACGTACATATCATGGATCCAAAAGAAGATGTTCGCCACTTTATGTCATTTATTTGGAATGCGTGTTGGTGGGCCATAGCAGTTAAGGTCTTCTGAAATGGCCTTCCACACATAGTGGCTTTGGTTTGACCAAAAGTCCGCACGTGCTACATTTGGGTGAGCTTCCATCCGGGCAAATTGTTCTTTTGTAGTAATATTAACCATTATGGGAAGCCTACAAAGTTCAGTTATTATAAACAGCAACCAGAAATAAATGGTTGCCGAAAAATTCTATTTGAAGCAACTGAAGCAACTGGTTGCCATCCGTAATCGACCCATAAATAAACAAAAAATTTATTCGAACAAAACAAGGTTTATTAATAAGGTTAACCGGCAGGCGAATTCATGCCTTAAACGGCATATACATTACAACTTTTTACCGGGTTAACCTACTTTATGAGGATTTATTTGACATATATGCAAAGAATTAACAATTGAAACCCACTGGGTTAAGGAAATCCGGTTATATGTAAACGTATTATTAGTCTTCTCCTGCTGTCAACTTTTTAATCGCGAAATACCAACCAGAACAGGATAAAACTCAAAATATCTTTCAATAAAACTTAATGATTGTAATGTGCACATATATTTTGGTTTGAATAAAAATATTTTTTGTTTATTTATTCTTCAAACAATAAATTTGACAGTCAATGAAGACTTCGAATTCGCCTCCCTGTTGACCTTATGAATAAACCTTGTTTTCAACGTTTGTTTTTGAAATAGAAAAATTATTTTACATACTTTTGATAGCCAACTATGTTTTATATTACAAATCAAATATTTTGACAAAAATGTAGATAGCAGTTGGCCCAAGGTTTATTCATGAGGTTAACAGGGAGGCGAATTTGAAGTCTTCATTGACTGTAAAATTTATTGTTTGAAGAATAAATAAACAACAAATATTTTTATTCGAAACAAAATACATATATGTATGTGCACATTACTATAATTTCGTTTTCCTGAATGTTATTTTGAGTTTTTATCCTATTCTGGTTGGTATTTCCCGATTTCGCGATGTTGACAACAAGATTCGGCATGGTTTCACCTGCCTGTTAACCTTAAGAATAAACATTGAGCTGGCCCTACTGAATGACCTATTTTATAGACCTTGGATTGGTTGATTCAAGGTTTATTAATAAGGTTAACCGGCAGGCGAATTCATGCCTTAGTCTTCTCTTGCTGTCAACTTTTTAATCGCGAAATACCAACCAGGACAGGATAAAACTCAAAATATCTTTCAATAAAACGTAATGATAGTAATGTGCACGTATATTTTAGTTCGAATAAAAATAATTTCTGTTTATTTATTCTTCAAATTTAACCTTATGAATAAACCTTGGGTTGAATCAAATTTGCCTAAATTTTGAAATGTCAAGGCGAATTGAATATTATTTGCCTTGTTTACAAATTTTGACATATAATGTTACTAAAAAATTGCTTTGTTGTAGTAATTCGCTGATGCGAATACCTAATATATGTGCCTTGCATGATCCAAACAACTAGAAAACAACCGTTACCTCAGTGAATTTCTATAAATTATTTGATTGTTGTATCACGTTCTATACTCTCCTAGCTTATTTCTAAAATAAAATTTTATACAATAATATTTATTTATAAATAACATATTAATATTTAAAAATCATATTTATGATTTTGAAGAAAAACTCTCCAGCGTTTTCTGGGCTAATATATATACCTTGCCTATATACAACAGTATGTTAAACGTCAAATCATAACTGTTAACATTTTGTCAACATTCAACTCAATTAAACAATTAATGATACGTCATGATTTGGTCAAATAATTTTTCGATTTTTTAATGTTGAATTAATTTGAGGACACTTTTATACTATTATCAAGGTTTATTCATAAGGGTAACAGGCAGGCGAATTCATGCCTTAGTCTTCTCTTGCTGTCATCATTTTAATCGCGAAATACCAATCAACATTTAAACTCAAAATATCTTGCAGGAAAACGTAATGATAGTAATGTGCACATATATTTAGGTTCAAATAAAAATATTTTTTGCTTAGTTATTCTTCAAATAATAAATTTGACAGTCAACGAAGACTACGAATTCCAATCCCTGTTAACCTTATGAATAAACCTTGACTATTATAAAGTTTTGAAAATTGAAATGAAACTTTCCTCCGTACAACATGTGTTCAGGGCCAAACTATTAATATTGTTTAATATTTTGTTCCCTGCCTATATAATATATAAATGTAAATTGTAACAGCCACAATTATATATTGAGACCAATGTGCATCAAAAAATGAAGATATTTATTACATTGATTTTTATTGACCACAAGATTAAAATATATATACATATGTATGAAATGATAAAAAGACTTGTCCATCACGAAACAGTTTAAAGCTTTAGAAAATATAAACTTTTAATTTATTAAAAAAATATGCCAATCGACATGCATAGCACTTTATGAAATTTTTTTTTTATATTATTTGAAGTTGATAGATGAGTTAGAAATTAAAATGGTTGTCATTATAAATCTCAGATGAGACTATCTTCCATAATTATGCCATGATGTTTACTGTTAATGAAACTTTTATACAAAAGCTACTCTTATTGCATTCGCACATAAACTTTGAACTGAAAAATATGCAATACAAAGGAACTGTTTGAAAAAGAAAATAATGGCAACACTCGTTTTAATATTTCAACAAACAAGAGAACGTGGCTGCCAAAAAGATAAGAGAATAGGTTGAGGAGTGCATTCTCTTCGCTCACTGAGTTTCGTCTGAGCATGTGTGTGTTTACAATTTGTATTCTCCATGCTAGTGCAAAGTAACAACGCATCACTCACCACTGCCCCATACTTCTCCATAGCAAGGAGTCGAACAGACAGTCGTGAATCGAGTAATCAGTTGTGTTTTCAAAAACGGCAAATACGGACGTTCGAAATAGTGGATGCTCCGTTTGTTAGCTTTCATGGCATACACAAAAACCGCTAATTTAAGGAATATAAATAAAAGAGACGGGTGTGATAATATTATATATATAAAATAATATAATCGAACGTGTAAACAAATGAAGAATTAATAGAAATATAAACAGCATAAGCCCCATTTATATTTTGGAACGACGTGGCTAAGATTAGTAGATAAATTTAAGTTTGTTCTGACGTTTCCATATTTTAAGTGGATATAGTTGATTTGGCTAATTGAACGATGCAGGATAATCCATGCGACCATTGTTATTTTCCATATTTTTGTTTGGACCGACAGCAAATTGCACTGTTTTACAATGGAAGTACGCAAATCGTGCGTATTGCTCCTGTAAATATGTTTGTTGCTGCACACACAACATATTTACATACCCCCCATATGTAGGCATGTAAACAAATGCCAATTTCTGTCCGTTTGGGAAAGTTCTTTACATCGGTTCAACGCATCTTTATCACCATCAGTGGGGAACGGCAACTGAAACAAACATAAATTGCATATGTATGTACGTTGCTGGCCCCATGAGATTGATAAAGTTTTCATAGCGAAAAAAATCTTTTCAGATTAAACTTTAGGTCATACACTTGGCCGTAACATAGTTTATCCTTGTGAATGGATGAGTTTATGGACTTTAATAAATTAAAGTAACCTATTGATTTTAATGCTGCATTGTTGTTGAATTGATGAGGTAATAGTAATTTTCTTTCATGCGGACTCGGCGGCGTACATTTTCACTACTGAAGTAGGCCATTCTTAACCCCAATATTAGGCGTATACTGATTAGATATGTTTTGACCTGATGGTTGACGATTTTGTGTATACCGTCTAAATTTCAAACTCCTTCAACATTATTTTTGACTCCTAAAGTATAATGTAAACTATTTTATTCGTCAAAATTGACTTT